AGATCTCTTAGCACAATCAACATATAAAAGTCCTCCACTCAAGGGCAAAATACCACCTAGGGTTTTTTCTCCTTAGTCTAGTAATTAACATCTTAGTTAACATCTTAATTCTACTACTTCTTAATATTAGTTATTTTGTATGGATACAGTAAGAGATACATTAAGCTTGTAAGGTGGCTCTCCTGGAGGCATCTCACTATAGATCTCAGACTACAGTGCTCAGGCCAGATTAATCTTTCCTAACCCTAGCAGGGTCCTAATCCAGTTATTACTCTTTGGATCATGACAAAATTTGTCCATGACCTTGCTCTTAATTTATAGTTAAGTATTTTGGCACTAGGCCTGACCTATTTCAATGCCAGGATAGCTCAGTGCTTGCCCTGGGTCCATCCAGTCCCTCGTCGAGACCCAGCTTTTGGGGTGCTAGGAAGTAAAGGCAACTGAGGCTTGAGAGAACAGATGCCCAGGAGTGAATATCATTCAGTCAATTAACTCCCAAGTTACAGAAGCATAGCATTAACTGTCATCCTGTGTCTATACAAAAAAGACATTGCTCTGAAATAACTATGCAAAGGACTTAAGGAGAAGAGAAAAGCAATATTTACAAGTTAACAGAGTCTGATTAGGAGATAAAGGTAATTGACCTGCTGGAGAAGCAGAGCACAAAGAAAGAGGTTACAAATAAACACAGAGGAATGAGAGCACTATGATGGGAGTAACCCAATAAACCTAAAAAAGCTCCCTGTGGCAAGGCAGAAAGGACAAACCAATGTTATCCTACACATTAAGGTATTCTACTCTTCGCCCTTTGTTATTTGGCATGTCGCAGTTTGGTCCAGTGGGGTTTCCAGTGCCCTGTCACTGAGAATGACTCGGTAACTGGAAGAAGCTCTAGGGTCCCCAGGGGCTAGCAATGGCTGCCCTCAGTGTTGGTACGTCGGCATGGAGAGTGTCATGGTACTACTCTCAGGGCCTGGATGTTTCATCGCTGGGGGCCACAGACACTGAATTCAGCCACTGGCTAAACTGGCTTATGGAGTTAGAAGATAATGTGGCCTATACCTGCCTCTAGACAGTGAGGTAAGCCGTGTTGAAGTGTGTTAGAGGAACTCTGAGTGAACTGGGTTGGGATCAGCATGTCCCAATGCAGCCACTTTCTGTTATAGATTAACTGAGCTATGATTGGATGGATGTTAAACAAATATTTCACTGGGTTACTGTGTAGACTTGCATAGATTCTGATGTGGAATATATGGGCAGTGGGATGTAAAAATTTACAAGGAGGTCTGACTTACTTCACCAAGAACTTTGTGCGTCATTGGGCTACAAAATAATATGTTCTTTAAGATGTTTTGATCCTATGTATTTTGATCTTATGTACTCTAATGTATGATGGATGTTTTGATCGCAAACCCAATAAATAGGGGCTGGAAAAGCCAGTCAGTGCTAAATGGCCTTAGTGAGCTTCACCCCTCCATTTTCCAACATTCCACACACCTTTCTTATCTCTGCGCTCCCAACCCACCACTCAACCGAGAACTAACTAGAAGTGTTTCTTTCCTCCCCCGCTTATATGTGACCGTCTTTGAACTTCATCCCCTGGCAGGCACTGGAAACACAGAGACACTTCATTTGCCCAGGGGGTGGCGGAGCTTACCACAGGCGCGTTTTGATCAGGCCCTAACTGTATGCAAGGACAGGTCCTTGGGTTCCTTTGCCTGGTAGGTGTGGCTTGGCTAAGCCTTCCTTGCACGAATATTCTAGGCTCCGCAAACTAGGGCAGGGGGTCCTGAATCTCCTTGAGGAGGGCAGATGAGGGAACAAGGCCAAGCTTGGTTTTCATTGGAACAGACTCAAATCTGGACTCAAGGGGCACCCCAGCCGTTGGACTGGAAATTTGGTAACATGGATGGTGCTGTATTGTGGCTTACTACTTAGCTTCCTCCCTGGACCCTTCTCAAAGGGCAGGTGGCCTTGGAGATTTGCTAGCCAGGAAATGGGGAAAATCAGAGCCTCCCATCACAAAGGCAATCGCCCGCCTGTGATACATCTGCAGCAGCTGTCTCCTTGCCAAATAATCCGTTTGTTCAAGATCCAGAGCCTGATGGAAGCTCAGAAACCGGGGACATGTGTGTGTGTGTGTGTGTGTGTGTGTGTGTGTGTGTGTGTGTGTGTGTTTCCACTCCCTTTTCATTTTCCCTGAGGCGCGATCCCTCACAGGGGCCCTGATCTGCCCTTTGGGATGCTGGTAAACCAGCCCTAAAGAAATGGCATCCCTACTTCCCAGCAAGAACAAAGGAAGGGCTTGCCTCATATGAGCCCATCAACTTTTTTTTTAAATTGAATCACCATGACATACAGTTACAAAGCTTTCACGTTTGAGTTTCAGTCATACAATGATCTGATGCCCATCCCTCCACAAGTGCACATTTTCCACCACCAGTGTCCCCAGTGTTCCCCTCTCCATCCCATCCCTCCCCCTGCCTCTATGGCAGAAAATTTCCCCCATACTCTCTCTCTACTTTTGGGCATTATGGTTTGCACCTCTTCGTTGACCAACAGCTCAACAATCCCAGCCATTCCTTCCGGCTAACGCCTCCAACCTGTCCCGTCTTCCAGAATGCACTTTCCCCGAGAAGCCCTCAACTACACACATCGGGGGGCCGACCTCGATTTAGGTTGAGCTTCTCAGAGGTGCTGCCTGTTCAACTCTGCATCTTAGCACTTCACCCAGCAGATACCGAACCACTGACTCAGACAGCTCCCTGCACCGGACACAAAGCCCGAAGGCCTAAACTAGTAAGTGCTCGCCATAGAGTTCAGTAAATACTTGAGAGCAGGATGAAGTCACATGGATGGTCCGTTAACACTTGTTCTCTGTAACCTTCTGCCTACAAATATACAAACACCTTTTTGCAGTTAGGATAGCTTAGCAACTCTTTAACCCAAGAAGAAACAAACTGGTGAGATCAAGTGTCTTATGCAGTGCCAGAGATATTTTCTGCCCTGACCGTTTAACGCCTTTGGATTGTTCAGTATCTATATTGCATTTCTAATTTGTCTCGGGGTCACAACCAGAGGTGCTCAATGCTCTTCGCTTGGAGATCATGCTGGCAGGGTGGGGAACCCTATGTTGTTCGGGGAACCACGACACGCAAGGCGCTGTTCCCAGTCCCTCCATTTGTAATTTTAAATGACACTCTTGGAACACTAATGTTCTTGGTGCAACTCTATAGGATCAGGCCTCCAGGACAACCGAAAAGCTTTTATACTTACGAAAAGCACTTTGTACTTAAAAAATAATTGCACTTTTTCCTGTTTTAGCCGATTCTGAATTTTACTCCAATCCCTGGGATTCTTGTAACCTTGTTAGCCAACTTCTTGTGGACACTTTACAGTCCTCTCTACGTTCAACTTTGCCCTGAATGATTGTGTGGTATACACAGGTTGGAGAGACTCAATATTTAAGTTAATATTTAACACAATATTGAAGTGGGGTGGTCTTTACATATGTCAGGGGGGCCACATCTAGTACATTTCAAGACTTGCATGATTCTACCTCTAAACATCCTTGGCGTTTGAAAAATAAATTCCCATTTATGGAAAATTCTGGAAACTGGAAAGATTTTTAAATAACCCCAAATGGAAATTTCCAACAGTCCCAAATAAGCATGTAGCGGGAAAGATGCTCAAGATTAAAATCCTGGTACCTGGTAAGCCTTTCAAGTCAATCAAGCTAGCACGTGGTAATAATGGTTACCCGAGAATCACCAGCCATTATGGTAAGGATGCTGATTGTGGTCACGCATGAAAATGCCTCAGCAGAGATCAAGAAAGAATGCGAACCTGAGGACCACATGTCTGGAGAATGTCCAAGTGAACCTCCAGCTCTGCCACTATCGCTGTCACTGTGTGCCCTGGACACTTGCAGAACCAAGACCATCCGGTCAAAGTCCTGGAGAATCGATCGCTTCAGCCCCCACCTGTAACAGACTGTCGCTCAGCACTTTGGGCTCTGAGAGGCAGAGCAGTTAGCAGAAGCAGAAAAATACCAGAGTGAAAAATCATAACAGAAAACAAAGGTGGATTTTCCTGAAAAAGTTAACAGCGCTGAAAAAGGGAATGCCCTGCCACAGAGTCAGGGTGGGATGGGTGGGATATACTGGGACCCGTGGTGGTGGAAAATGGGCATTGGTGGAGGGATGGGTACTCGATCATTGTATAATTGAAACTCAAGCACAAAAATTTCTAAGTCTACAACTGTACCTCATGGTGTTTCACTAATAAAAATTTAAAAAAAAAAGAAAGAAAAAAGTATCAGCATTGAAAAAACTCAAGCCCCGGAGCCATCCTGGATCCTGATGCCAGCTTTAAACAGTCACCGATTCCTTTGTTTGCTCTGGGCCACATTGGGTGGGGGGGCTTGGAAGGACCAAGCTCAGGGGCTGAACACGGAGCTCCAGGCTGAACCACCTGCCCAACCCCGTTACTATCTTTTTCCCCCCCAAGGTCCCATAAGTCAATGTAGAGGATAAATTACTGCACTCATTTTCCCCAACTGACAGGGTGTGTGAACATCGAGACAAAAGTACGTTTTCAGAGCAATTTGTGGCATCGCTGAACTATCTGCCTTGCCCTGTTTATGTTCTTTTATTCATGGTACTTAAGTTGATACAAACACAATTTAAATAAAAAGTCACTGTATTTCCTTTCTCCCAAATGGCAGGGTGTGTGTCCATGAAAATTCTATCTTCAGTGCAGTTCTGTGGCATCCCATGCCACTGAGCTGCTGGGGGTTTAGGAACTGGAAACATGGACAATTTCCAAACTTCGCCATGTTTTCCTTTCAAATGTGCACAGATTATGCTCTGCATAATTCCCCCGTATCACTTCTGATGTATTTAGAAACTGAAAATCAGGAGCAAACATCTGTCAGACTAATTTTTTGCTTTTTCATAAGTGCAACTTTTTAATAAAAATTTACATCTAGATAAACAATCTTTAGATTTTCGAAACTTTAATAAGATTTTAAAAACATGACTTTGAACTGAAAAACATACACGTTTAGTACACAAATATTGCAATATGAATCAACTCCAACTCCATTTGAAAACGTGAATCAAATTACAGTTTTAGAAGTTAGTAATTCACATTTAAGCAAGTTAGCGCCTTGCTGAATTCAGCCTTTGTAAAAAAAGAGACTTAGTGCATATTGTAATGGTACAATGTGCTTTTGTACCATTTTAGATTTCTCACCTTATTAAATATGATCAAGTTTTCAAAGTTGGTAATATCAGCTAACTTCCTATTACAAGTGTAATTTCCAATGGTAACAGTTACTTTTGTAACAGAACACTTTCTATAGATTTCGTCTACCTTAATTTTTTTCAAAGCAATCATTTGTAAGGATTGCATCAACATCAATGTAGCAGAGGAAGATCAAACTTTATTGAAACTGCTTGCATACAAAATATATTGCACTATAACCAAACAAATGTTAACATAAAATCCAATCTGTTGTCGCTAATATGTACAGAGAATATTGCCCAAGAGCAGTTACATTACAAGGTCATTCTACCTTGGTTAATTATCTACAGTATTTTAAACCAAACAGCTTACAGATGATGTGTGTGCAAGGTACCAATTTCTGTTTCAAATACTATACATTCCCAGAATAAATAACTAGAAATCAACATTAATGTTTGGCAATACTTTTAAGACTTTTTAATATTCTTGGAATCGTGTGCAGCTTGTTGCCCTTTTTTATGCTTGTTTGTATGCAAGGAAATGTAACTGTAAAATGAAAACTCAGAGAAACTTACAAAATACATCAGAGGCAGAACTTCGGTTTGTACGGCTCTGTGCAGATTCAGTGGTACCCCGGGAGTTATTTGTTAAGAAAAATATAACATCTTAGAGAGTGAAGGTCCTTCACGTAACTTTCCTCGGTAAATTTTCTTTTTTGAAAACAAAAGCCAAAATAATCTGAACCCAACGCATCAAAAAAAATTTGAGGGGTGGAAAAGTATTTGTCAATCCCAGTCTGCTTTCCAATTCTGCTTATACATTAGACCTAGTACTTCCAAGTTTACAGAACGTTTATTACCTGCTCCCAATGTTTCTTACACAAAGCACCTGTACTTCACAGGATTATTATGCACACATGAAAATGACCTTCCTATCTCCCCAAAATCAATTTGAAATGAAAAAAATGAAAAACTTCACAAAACTTGGGGAGGACAAAATAAAGGCTCTAAGTTAAAACTGGTCATCAGGCCAAAGAGCAGGCATACCCTACCAACTTTCAGCCAGGAAGATTCGTTCCCCGCCGAAACAGTTTAGCCTCTCTCCAATGAAAAGATAATTATTTCTTCTCCTGTCTATACAGAAAAATGACACATCTTTCTCAATAACACTATTTGTCAAACTTCAGTGCAACGAAACGAAAACAAAAACAAGTCCTATTCTTCACACTGCCTAACCTGATGTTATGTTAAGGAAAAGAATACGGAAAGCATGCATTTCTCTATAAAGTACTAATGTTTGACAGGGTTTGCTACATCTTTAACATTTAGTGTTTCCAACTTATCTTCCCTGAACTCTGCATCCAAATATAATATTCCTACCTGCCAAGATATAAAAAAGGCACAGATCATACAACTTTTTTTAGTTTTTTGCTAATGAAAATGACAAATGTCACGTCACATACATCCCAGGGTCCACTAAAATACTGAAAAAGTGGACCGAAACAGAAACTGACAGAGGACATGAAATGGCATAGTATTTCATGGAAGACTTCTATATGAGATCGACAACCGAAGTCTGATCATGATAAATATTTAGAAAAAGTGAGATGTTCTGGTGACTTATCACCCAATGCAGGAGGAGTCCAAATTAACAAGGAATATCACTGCTCAGTACTTCAGAAAAGAAAACAAACTGAAATTCTGCTGTGAGGTGCTGAGTATGCTTTAAAATTTTCAAGGTTATCTTTTTGTGCGATCTGGAAATTGTTGCTTATGGCCAATACCAAAAAAAGGGAACATTCTTAACGGATTTGTGTTCATTTCATGCCCTGTGCCATCTTGCCTACTATTTGTCTTTGGCCTAACAAAGTTTTCTAATATGGAAGAATTCCGGAAATGTATTGGAAATATAACTTCAGGATTATGCAGTTTAGGGGACTCCGTTCACAAGTGGTTGCTGCCCGTCCACGGCGTCTGGCTTTTCCTTCTTCTGGTTGCGATCTTTGCCCGTGCGCAGCCGGCTACCTTCACTGGAGGTATTCTGTAATGTTTTAGTGTGGACACTCCTTTCATTATTGCAGTCAACTCTGATCTAAAACAAGTTATAGTTGTTATATACACAAACCACAGCCTACTTCAATGTGTGATGGGCCTCCTGACAAGAAATTTCAGTCTCAACATTTGTAAGGTACAAATGTTAAGAGGGGAAATGGAGGTGGAGAAAATACAGGAAGTTCAAGAAATTATGGTCAAGGATTGGTTCTTTATTGGTGTGGCTTAGGGTTTTTAAAAACACTCTTCTTCTTTAACTGGAACACTGCTCATCATTGCTCCCAATGTTAGATAACAACTCACAATCCTACAGTGTCTTCTTCTAAGCAGAACAAAACAGTGAGAGACAAATGGTTAAAGTGAATTACTATCATTGCTTACCAAAAGATACACTTATGCCTACTAGTGTTTTTAATACTATTCTTCACAGACTGTGAAACACTAAGACATAAATTAATATCTATTCTGATTTTACCAAGGCATCAATGATTTCAACTAACTCACATATCAATCTCTCATTTACACATTACAATCTAATCCTGTGGATAATTATGTTTTATTTTTCTCTAATGACTTATTCCATTGAAAAGTGAGCGTTTTACTTTCTAGTAGCTTATGTTATCAGTAAGGCAAGGAAGAAGGTCGTACAACTTGAATTCTGTCCGAAGAACAAGGATGATACATAGGGAAATTCTGAAGCTACTTGTTGAAATGTCTGGAATTCTAAGATAAAAGTAAATCCAATAAAAATAAAAGTATAAGGCTTCCTAGTATTTTTAAACCTCAACAATACTTAAAATTCTGGCTAAGGGACTTCTAGATACTGGGAAAAGGAAGAGAACATTGAATAATGGAGCAAAAGCAACTGTAAGTATTGATGTGTTTCAAGTACAAATGCTAAATGAATAGACATGCATATCCCAAACTGGCTAGCCATATAATTTTAGTGTGTTTAAGTGGTGGGTATGGTTGTATGTTTTAAATGTTTGTCAATGGTTCTGAATCAACCCTCACGCTCGGAGTAAATCACTTCTGATGTGGTGTTCCACTTTGCTTCTGAACAAGAAATATGCAGCCTTTTTGGATTTACATGGCGAGCAGACTTCCCCGGTTCATTCAGCTCAACAGTTTAAGTAGGGAACTACAAAACTGGTACATAAATGCCTTCTATTTCTGCAAATCAGTGAATATATGTTATTTCATTCATCTTTATCTAGGTCAAAGTTCTTTCTTATTCTAGTCCTTAACACAGCAAACTTAACACCTACTTAGAACTTCTATGACTTCTGTTGGAGAGCTGCTGTTCCTTAAGTATCTCTCACTGAACTTAGATGCTGATCCCAAAATAACCCATACTACAGAAGAAACTCTGACTGGGCTGAAGCGATAGGACAGCGGGTAGGACATTTGCCTTACACTCGGCCGACCCGTGTTCCATTCCCAGCATCCCACATGGTCCCCTGAGCACCGCCAGGAGTAACTCCTGAGTGCAGAGACAGGAGTAGCCCCTGTGCATAGCTGGGTGTGACCCAAAAAGAAAAGAAAACCAAAAAACCCTGATTTAAGCGTTCAAAAGCAGGAAGTAAGAGCATGGGTTCTGGGTATCAGAGACCAGGGTTGAAATAGAACTTCACCATAAATGACTCCTTCTGTGTCCTCCCCTATGAAATGGAAGAGAGGAACTACTCACCTCAGGGAGCCGCTGTAAGATTAAGCAAGGTAAATACACATAGTGCCCTGAGCAAAGGTACCTGGATATGCTCCAGGGTGAATTTAGAATTCATACCCAATACCTTCAGAACAGGTAATGACCACTGGGGAGGCATGCGCAGAGCCTGTACTAAGCGGTCAACACCTTATCCTTCCGCTCCTTTCAAAGAGGACACCTTAGCCCTGAAATCCAGGGGACCCACAGAATTTACTCCAGGGTCTCTGAACACCCAAGGACGTTTGTTCTCCTGGGGGAAATCAAGAGATTGCCCCACAGGTGCGGTATTCAAGTCACCATGGGACTGGCCAGTCCTGACACTTAGGCTGCAAATGGGACAGGAATGGTTTTTGTATGGTCTGTCCCAAAAGGCCAAGTTTGGCCACCACAACTGTGGTGCTTTTTCTTTGGTTTGGTAAAATAATCTTAATCTCGACAAACAATGCGGATGCAAATGGTGCACAGGGTTACCTGAAGCGACCCGTCCGCTGTCCTTCCTTTAGCATCTCGCAGGTTCCGCGGGCGGTTATCGGTGCGAGTGTGGTCTTCGTTCCCTACAGGGGCATGGGCAAAAGGGTCAGTCAGCATACCTGAGGCACTTCTTGGGACTTCTTTATCCTCATGTCCTTGAGTGATTTATGCCAACCACAGAGCCTCAAGCAACCTAGTCATGCTGCCTGCATCACGGTTAATAATCTGGCTAGCATGCGACTCACCACCACCTGCGCTACGGGTCAGGCTGAGCTCCTGCTAAGATACGATGTTCAGATGACCCCGGGAGAGCTGAATTAAGTGCTTCTTGAACTATTTGGCCCAAATTAAGGCAACATCTACCCAAACCTGGCCATGAGGATGGCTGACGGGCTGTTCATTTCTATACAAACCTTTCCTAGGGTGCTATGCACAAAACTGGGACAACGGTCGTTGGGGAACAGTTTTTCCCCAACATGCCCAGATACATTGCGCACTGGGTCCAGGCAGATGTGGGATGAAGGATAAATGACAGGTGTGCAGAGAAACCACTCCGGGAGACAACTGACAGCCGCTCGCTTTATTGCCAAATACATACGTATTTTATAAGGGTCTCGGCTTAAGAGGGTGGTCCAATCACATAAAGTTTAGCATTGCTGACTATCACCTTTCCAACTCTGCTCTGCCCCGGCCTGGCCCGGTCCGGTCTGGTCCCAATTAGGGCTAGATGCTGCAGTTAGGAATGCAGTTATGTGATAATTCTCAGTGGCTGGGACTCAACACCAGATACCTGGTACTAGTCAAGTGCACCCAGATGCTCCGTACCGAGTCACTATGCAGGGACAGACCTTATCTGCTATGCAGGCACAGATCTTATCAGCTCTGGTGCCTGGCGCCATGGCAGTGAACCATCAAGAGTTTCCACAGAACTTCAGACAGTTGGTACAATTCACTGTGCTTTTTTTTAAGGTCTCCCAAACCCACGAGCCCCTCCTGGCAACTGTTGGCCAGCTGGGCAGGTGGTTCACTGTGAGTGGCCCTGGAGGTGGTCAGCTCGGGCCCTGCAGGGCTGGGATTACCTGGGTCACCCTGGCGGCACCGGGGGTGGGGATGTCTCTAGGGACACACTTGGCAGTGCTTGGGGCCATGCGGTGCCGGGGATAGAATTGGGGTCAGCCACATGCAAGGCATGCGCCTTAAGCCACGGACTATCTCTCAGCCCCCACTTGGATGCCCTGAACGAACACCTCCATACCTTTGAAGCTGCCTCCTCGGCCTCGTCCTCCTCCCTGTCCTCTTCCGCCACCTCCGCGTCTTCGGCCGTCTCCTCTGCGCAGGAAGTTCTCCCTTTCTTCCTCTGTTGGAGCTAATGACCAATCACTGAGTTCATCTCTGTGGTCAGATTCTGTTTCAGAAGCATTTGATGCTTCAGAATTAGTTCCTATCGAGAGTTAAAAGTTATACACCGTTGTCCGACTTCAAAAAAAAATTGGTTAACAGAAGCTTCCACAGACGTTTTGGGGGTGATCCAACCGTTTCCCCAATGGAATAAGACCAAAGAGTATTAACACCTTCGATTTTGTCAAACAGGTCATTTTATACTCAAAATGAAGGTTTCAGGTTATTGGAGGTCATTTTGGTCGTAACTTTTTTGACCCTCATTAGAAAGTGTACTTGGTTGCATTTACCTGAGAGGGTTTTCTAATGCTCATCTAAGTTCAAACCTGAGTACTCCCCATCATTAGCCAGCTGTGTTTCTCTAACAGCTGCGCTCTCTGGAGGGAAAAGGTGTCTACAATAGTTAAATTGCAATACCTCATGACAGACAAGGACTCGACCAATTTCTCTTGGCAAGGTCAGGCCCCGAGACATGCTCTAGTCTCCTCTGAGAGGGCGGACAAAGGCCACCATGGCAACTGTCCTAGGGAGGGGTTTCTTTGTGAGGTCAGGGACTAGACCTAACTCTGCTGGCCGGAAGTGTGGGCCACGTCCTTCCCTCCCCATTCCCTCGTGACCAATTTGTCATTAATAAAGGAATTACTACAATGGCCTCGTAAGGTCTGAGGGGATGGGCTAACCATACAGGGACGAGACTGGGGTGGGTTGAGGTGGGGGGGGAACCCCACGGTGACGATGGGCCTTTCTCAGCAGAATGACTGTGGGGCGATGAGTTAGGGGTCAGGTTCCAAGTTGGCCTTTGGAGTGGGTGCCTCTGTCGCCCACTCCAGGACATCAGCTCTACTACCTCTCGCTTCCTCTGTTGGAGCTAATGACCAATTATAGCTTCACCATTCTAGCTTCATTCCTGTGGATCTTGAAGGCTTTTCCATCTTAAAGAGTTCCTTTTTGAAATGCAAATATTTGTGAGATGGATTATACCTTAGACCATCATTAGCAAGTCACAAAGTAGACACAGTTGGCAAGAGACATCAGGTACCGGGGGTGGGGGGGGGGGACTCCTTTGGGCGGAAGGTTGTGGGAGAGGAGAAAGCACCGCTGAGGGAAGAGCTGGGGGCAGAGGCAAAGCCGGCCTGGTCCACCGCCTAGGGCCGAATAGACCCGCTCCTCGGACCCCGTGAGCCACAAGTTACACAGGCTAGCCAGCACGCCGAGCGCTGAGCCGCAGGACACAAGTGAGAAAATGTTGGGGTTCTACAGTAATAAACACCAGGTACAGCCTTAAGGAAGTCAGCAACACATGGGCTCCAGCTTCCACCCCAGTCAGGACACAGACAGAACTCCCAGCTGCCCTGGGCAATCTTTGGGTTACGTAATCGGGTTCCCAACTTGCTTTGTCTCTTGCGATATACACTCTGGCCCACTGTGAATCAGAAACCATGGAGGGAGAAATGGTAATCATGGGGTTCTAAGGAATAGTAGAGATTAGCAGCTATTAAGTCTAGGAACAGATACAGTTACTAAGTAAAATGCTGATTTGTACCTGAAGCATATCCGGGACCGCGTCTGCCGTGCCCCCTATTTCTGTAAGGTCTACTACCTCGACCCAGTCCTGGACCATCATCAGTCACATAGCCTTTTTCCTTATCTGTACGATTTGGTGGTGGTCTAGAACTAGCTCCAATCTGGCGCAACTGCTCATCAATTTGTAATCTCTCCAAACGCAACTGGTCTACTTCCTATTTAAAATATACAAGATAACAGTAAAAATAATTTGACATATTACTTAATAATACCTTTCTCCTTTTTATCAGATTAAAAAGATATACTGGAAATATTTGTGTTTCAGTTCTAAATTTACCGTCAACACTGTTATACAGGATTATCAGAAAACTGAATTGCCAAGGTCCTTAAAATGAAGATTACTATAGATAACAAATTACTGATGTCTGGAATTAGAGAACAAAAATACTCAGCATTAAAATGATAATGAATCGAACTATAAAGTTTGATTTGGCAATATTATCCAATAGAATCTGTTATGACAGATATGCTAGATTCGGGGCTTTTTATAATAGGATGTTAACTAAAACAACTCTAAAATATATAAATACAGATAAATAACACTTAAGGTCTAACGAGATAACCTTAAAAAAATCACACATTCTAAGTAATCTTAAACAGGTCCTCCAGTTAATACCTTCATTTACAAAGCACTGAGTATGGGGCATCTTCTGTTTCCAAAAAAATATTTACCGTGCTAGATCTTTAGATGTGATAAGGAACAATTTTCACGAGCTCCAAATGCTTATGTTCCTTCTATGGGAAGGTGGGAGCTATTTAATAGCTGACAAAAAGTTAGGTCTCACATCACCATCATGCCTTTAAAACCTCTGAACTATATCTAATGCTGGTGCAAGTATGACAAACAGTATAAAATCAGTTGAGCAAAAATAGATTCCTAGGATCTATGCTCAGGCTTTATGTAAAGCATTTTCCGTATGTCACATCCTACCAAAGCCAGATCAAGCCTAACCCTGTCCTTCCAATCTACCCATACACAACCTCATTCACGGGCCACGGGAATTAGATCTATGACTTAATAGCACTAGAGACTGTCGGCGGGTTAGCCGCAGACACGTCCCCGTGTGAAGCCAAACTCCTCCAATCTTGTCATTGTGGCTTTGAAAAAAAGGAAGGGCAGATCAGGATCTACGTGAGTTTCATCTGCACTCTGAACCAGAATTTCAGTTCTACAAAGAATTTCAAGCAAAGTCGAGACCGCAGCTGCGTGAGCGGCTTACCCTAAAGGTACAGGGGAAAGCTCATGGAAGGGGCAACGCTTGTAAAATGGAATGGCAGCCCAGGCTATCCCACTGGGGCAAAGCAGTTGCCTGCCAGTGAGAGGTGCCAGGCCCAAGCAAGGGAAGATCTGGGGATGGAAAGAATGGCAACAGGACAACTGCTGATAACAAAAAAATTTTAAAAAAGTATTCGATTGTGAAGAATCCATCAAAAGGTCTAAGAATTAACTTTAATCCAAAGAAAAAGGATTTAGTACAATGCAGCTCTAACTCTACAGGGCTTCATGAGTATTTAAGCTTAAGAAGATAAAGAAACATACACAGACACACACAATTATACATAAAACACACTTTAAAATCCAAACAAATAAGCAGATCCATGAGGTCTCCTAACCATGTAAACCCTGCTGGAGGAAACCTTCCCAGTTTTCTTACTGAGCACCTTAATGAATGCCTTCCTAATGCATTTCCTTCTTTATTTGCACACAAGTAGAACTCAGCAGAGAAAATTCTTAAGATAGCACCACAAAGGAAAGAGAAAGTTGGTTTACTCTGCAAACACTTGAGAACAGTTAGAGTTTGGGTACATGTGGATATAAATACTTATATTTAAAAACTGATGTACGTAAGACTACATTATTTCACTCAATTACAGGACATTTCAGCCAACAGAACTTTTGAAAGGCAGATGTCTTTCATCCATCAAGTGACTTGCCCAAAGTCACACAGCTGTGGTGGCGGAGACTGGACGCCAAACACGGGCCTGCCACCCCAGCGCCTGGCTCCTGCTCTCCAGGGCACCATCTTCACGAGCCCTAACTGTACAGACTCTATATGAAACGAGCAGTTACAGCAAGACATGAACCGTTTATCCTCTGCATAATGGGGCAGTGAAAAATACTAAAGTTAACATTTAAACAGAGGAAGGGCTTTGGAAGAGGTCAGGAGTTCCTGGATATTGTGACATAAAAGGGACAACATAGGCAAGTGTTACAGACAAAATTTAGCCTGGAAAAAACTCACAGGGTCTAGAAAGATTTAAGTGGATAAGACTATGCGTGAGATTATCTCCATTGGCTAAGGGCTTAACAGTAGAAAAAAGGGGAATAGAAGTTATTCACAAATGGGTTCTCAAGTTCATAATGATGAAAACATGACTGTTTATGAGATTGAGCTGAATGAAGAATTTCCTCTGTTATCATTTATTACAACGTAAAGACTACAATGAACCAAACTGCCAAAATATTATAATGAAATTTTCCTATTTTAGTACAAATGACCAAAGAGAAAGATCTTATTTGCTCTCACCTTTAAATAGTTCAGGTGGTAATCTAAAAGAACGGTAGCATTAGCGATGCTGTCCTTAGTTCCCACAAAAACAAATGGTACCATGCCCTGAAAAAGAAATAGTGACAATAATCCTATCAAATTAATGAATGGATCGGAAAAATGCAAATGATCACTATGTCCCTAGCATTCAAAAATAGATTACACCAACACTTGTTGAAATGATACATCGACCCATGAAAACAAAAGTAGTTGGTACAATTTACACAACTACTGTGAATAAGATCAATAAAGCAATGCCTGAAATGTATCAGCCATTACGGTTTAAACACTACCATTAAACACTGGCAGAATCACAAATCATGTGATTCAAAATTAAACAGGTCTTAACATGAGATGCACAAACAAGATAAATAGCATAAAATGCTCCATTCATTTATCAGATTCTTTAAACTTCATTCTGAATCAGACACTAGAGTTCAAAGGTAAGAACTAAATCATTTTTACTAACCATGTCAACACAATACAACAAAATACAAAAAGGAGATAAAATGCACCAAGTAATTATTCTGTGAGAAAAAATTACAAATCCACGGTCATAGCATTTAGCAAGCCCAGATACATTTCAACCACATTTTCTAAAACTTATTAACTGCTGAATCACAAGGGCAAAAGGCACAGCTTTTAAAAGAGCATACTAAAAATTATACTTCTAAGTCCATTCATCTAAGTGGAGAAAGCCTTCGTGTGTTAAACTAGAAGGAAGCCTGGCCACAGTCGGACAAACCAAGAGCCGCAAATAAGACACAGGTGAGGGACGGTTTAGTATTTTGCTACTGAAAAATACATTTACTGGTAGAACAGGTCAACCGCGGAAAACATATGACGGCTCTCATGTGACCATGGCTTGCTAGGTGTGTGGAGCCAAGAAATGGCTCCCGTGGCAAAGGATTGATGGTTCAGAAAGAGAGTTCGGTAGACTGCATTGTCAAGGTAGGTGGGGGCTGAAACATGCCCGTTTTTCCTGTCACCCGGACATGGCTGTTGACGGGGAGCAAAGAAATACAAAATTCTGTTTGCATACTGACTTTCACCTGGCAGACAAGGCTCTGCTTCCTAAACTACCTCAAGAATCAGGTGCGGGGGACTGAAGGGAGAGTGCAGCGGGTGGGGCATTTGCCTTGCACGCGGCCAACCCAGGTTTGATCCCTAGAAACCCGTATGTTTCCCCAAGTACTGTCAGGAGTAATTCATTAATGCAGAGCTAGGAGTAACGCCTGAGTATCGCTGGGTGTGTCCCAAAAAGAAAAAAAAATCATATTCTTGGGGCTGGAGCGATATAGCACAGCAGGGAGGGCCGTTTGCCTTGCACTCAGCTGACCTAGGTTCGATTCCCAGCATCCCATATGGTCCTCCGAGCACTGCCAGGAGTAATTCCTGAGTGCAAAAGACAGGAGTAAACCCCTGTGCATCACCGGGTGTGACCCAAAAAGCAAAAACAAACAAACAAAAAGAATCATATTCCACTGAATATCTATGGGGTTTTAGATGGACTCGTGAAGAACGTTTTTCTCAAGGCTGTTTCTGCCAAGCAGTGAGTTCCATTACTTCCCAAAATGCCAGGTAAAAAGGTGCTATGCTCTGGCTTGAGCGATAGCAGAGGGTAGAGCGTTTGTCTTGCACACCACTGACCCAGGTTCAATCCCCGGCATCCCATATGGTCCCCTGAGCACCGCCAGGAGTAATTTCTGAGTGCAGAGCCAGGAGTAGGTCCTATGCATCGCCAGGTGTGAAAAAAGAGAAAAAAAAACAAAAAACACCCAAACAAAACAACAACAAAAAATGAAAAGTTGCTATGCCTGTCTCTGCGGGTCACTGTTGGCCAAAATGTCCCCACCACGACAAGGACAAGGGGTGGGGAGGGTGCCAGGGGCTCCGGGTGCCCTTTTAGTCCCTTCGAGAAGGGAGAATTCTGATGTACATTGTGTGGTTAGGCTGAGTGATTTTCTCTAAAGGAGATGCAGGCCAAATGGGAAGTTTTGTTCTATATGAACGGTAAGAAGTGACAAACCAGGGGCTGGAGCAATAGTACAGTGGGGAGGGCGTTTGCCTTGCACACAGCCAACCTGGGTTCGATTCCCAGCGTCCCATATGGTCCCCCCTGAACACCGCCAGGAGAAATTCCTGAGTGCAGAGAGTAACCCCTGTGCATCGCCGGGTGTGAGCCCAAAAAGCAAAAAAAAAAAAAAAAAAAGGAAAGAAAAAAAGGAAAAAGAAGAAGTGATGAAACCCTACGGCAGATTTCGGTAGAGCCACTCTGGAAGTAGTAATCTGGGATCCTTCTCTTTGAACATATCCAGACTTGAGCGTCCTGAAGCACTACTCTACGTCATACAGGCCCACTGGGTCAGAGCAGAAAATTCAAACAGGAAGGTGAGACGAGAGCGGCGGCGCTCTTCACCATGCACCGATGAAGGGAGTTCCTGGGTGAGGGACGAGGAGCTCGCAATGCAGCCCGGACTACTCAGGCCACTTCTCTTAACAAAGTGAAATTTGGGGGCTGGAGCAATGGCACAGCGGGGAGGGCATTTGCCTTGCACGCAGCTGACCCGGGTTCGATTCCCAGCATCCCATCTGGCCCCCTGAGCACGGCCAGGAGTGATTCCTGAGTGCAGAGCCAGGAGGAACCCCTGTGCATCGCTGGGTGTGACCCAAAAAAAAGAAAGAAAAAAAAACGAAATAAAGTGGAATTTTTGCACTGACTCTTGTGGCAATGTGACCTCCTCCCCGCCAACGGTTCCTGAGGGCCTGAGGGTGAGGCCTGCGAAAGAATATATGACACAACCAAGGACACAGCAAGGAGCTGTCCACGTTGTGGGAGTTAGATGGGGCCCAGCACAGTGGGCCTCTGGCCCTGGAACCCTTGGGGAGGCAGCGGCATGGCGTGTTGGAGGGGAGAACAGACTGTGCTGGGGAAACGGGGACACGCTTCCGGGAGCAAGAATGTCAGTTAAACTGATGGTTCTCTAGGGCCGAGCTTCTTCGCCTCGAGCTGCAGGCCCACGTGGGTAACTAACGGTGATGGGGGGGGCGGGGGGCATGACAAAGTGTTCTAGAATGAACTTATGATGAGCAGGAAAAGATGTGTAACACAGAGCATGGAAGCATGTCCTGGGGAGGGGGTGGAGACACAACACAGCAAGGAGGGCACTAGCTCTGCACACAGCCAACAGGCCTTTGATCCCCTGCACCACCCGCCAGGAATGAACCCCGAGGACAGAGCCAGGAGGAAGCCCCGAACGAGTGTCATTGAGTGTGGCTCAAACAGTGAAAAAAAATTCGTGGACAAAAAAGGGTGGTGGGTAGCCAATATCTAAGAAGCCTTGCTCGACAGAGCAAGGGGGTGACGAGGGGAGACTACGGGAGGGGAGACGGGGGAGGAAGGTCTCCTAAGCACGCCTGGGCACAGGGTCCACGCACCCACACACGCCTCCACCATCCCCCAACCTCGAGGAGCCGCAGGCTATCTTAACCAGGGGGAAAAACAGCAAAATATAAAATTAAAACATATTTTTCAAGGAATGTTTTCCTACCTGCCAAGCCTTGAGTTCAGGTTTCTGGGATTCCCCTGCTACAATTGGTGAAACCACTAACACCTAAAGCAGTATAAGGAATGCAAGTGACGTCATTAACTATAACAAATGATACACAGAAGCCTGAACGCAGGACTTTCACTGCAGGACTTCTAAAGCCATTTACAAACAGGTTAGTTCAAATATTCAAGACCAGTTTCTAAAATATGCTATTAAGTTGTAACTAATGCATCTAACAGAAGACATATTTTGCGTTACTACACAACCTGCGAATTTTCAAAAGATACTGCATGAGAAAAATAAAAGTCCACCCTCAAAAGAAAATGTCACCATTAAATGCAACCCAATATTTTATGCTCACAGCCTAAGATTTGTCACTGTGAACAAAATGACAAGTAGGTACGACTCTGGGTTGTAGTATCTCATAAGCTGGCAATCAGATTTGAACAAAATGAAACATAAGTTACCTAACCAAAGAAAACACCCGAAAAAGCAATTTTGACATGATTCGAATAAATTACTTTTCAAATAATTCAACGTGACAAGTAATTCTTACCCTCTGTACTTTTGTGCTGTTAGACTGAGAAAAATGGGCACTGTTTTCCTTTGTGTCTGTATGCTTTTTCTCTTCTGAGGGAGATGGTCCAACCCTTGAATTAGTGGAAGGTAGGGAATTTGGTGGCATAATTTCCTTTGTAAAAAAAAAAACACAAAATATGAGACAGACCAATTTTCACGTCTATATTAAATTTTATTTATTAAATTTCATTTTAAACAATTTCATAGAATGCAAAATGCTACGCACTAAAAACCTCAAAAGCTGTAACCTCAGCCAAAAGAACCTTTCACCAAGACAGGCCAGGCGATCTGTGAAAATTACGACCGTCGGGCTGGGGCTGTATTATACAACGATTATATAGTGGCACAACAGCACATATCCTCACCGCCCACTGGCACATGCAAATACATCAATACTGCTTCCAAAAAGCACATATTCATGAAATGAGGGCTAGACAGTCTCAAGACTGGGGAAGAGATGGCACACCCAGATAAAAATCGAAAGGACACAAAACTGAACAACCACCCAAATGAAAGAAAACCTAACCAGCGGCAACATGAATACCTGGGAAGTATTTTTGTGTCCTTTTACATTTGTGAACCATTTTCAAGAATCAGAGAATGGACAGACACCGTAATCTCCAATTTCCACATGAACTGGCATGCCACACAATCCTAACTATTACAGACTCGGGAGACTTCGAAGTGAATGCCATATAAAATAACAAAATCTCATTACACAAAGCCAGAAATGTGTGCTACAACATACCTCTTCTTGTGGAACATTTTTCTCATTTTCGGCTTCAATTCTGACTCTCACAACTCCTGACTTGTCCACAATTTCCTGAATTAGCTTTCCATTTTTTCCAATTACTTTGCCTAAGTTAAAAAAATGGATAATTCATGTTAGTTCAATAATTTATTTTTGGTTTTTGACCCAAAAGTACTCAAGACTCCTGGCTCTGCACTCAGGGATCACTCCTGGCTGGGGATTGAACTTGGGACAAGCACCATACATGCACTACGATTGCTTCAGCCTTTGTGTTCGATTTTAAAATCACATACATCGCACCAGCAAGAATACACCCACTGTATACTACCATAACCTGCCCTGCCACGAGGCAGGGTGGGATGGGGGAATGGAGAGTGGGAGGGATGCTGGGACCCGTGGTGGTGGAAAATGGGCACTGGTGGAGGGATGGGTATATGATCACTGTATAATTGAAATCCAAGCACAAAAATTTGTAAGTCTACAACTGTACCTCATGTTGTTTCACTAATAAAAATTAAAAAAAAAATAAAATAAAATTGTTACATTTAAAAAATTCAAAAGGAAGTTTAAGTGGTTTTCTATTTGCAAAGGGGTCAGCATTAAAATTCTTCAGCCAGAAATTCGAGATGATTAATACCTATATGCTCTTATTTTGCATAAAATGACTTACTTTAATCTGGAGGTATAGCAATGTGTTTCGCTCTTTCCATGAAGCTGTATAGCAACTGCTTACTTATTAGACAGTTTCAACTCTACCAGATTTTAATCTGCTGCCCACAGTTCTGCTCTACTAAGCTGATTGAAGTAACATTAGAGAAAACTAATACGGTCTTCCACTACTCTATGCAAAACTTTGAATGTGTAAATGTGTGTTATCCCGAAATCATCCCATTTAGGTGCAACAAATGCATCAAGAGGTGGACACAATTACACACAAGGGTTACTCCTGGCTCTGCACTCAGGGGCGGTGCTCGGGGAACCCTATGGGATGCTGGGAATCGAACCCGGGTCAGCCTCATGCAAGGCAAATAAATGCCCTACCCGCAGTGCTATCGCTCTAGCCCCTACACATCTGTTTAACGGACAGTCAGTCTCAGAGTTAGTAAGTTGCCCTTTGTGAAATAGCTCTCAATGCTGAAGTAGGTCTGAAATCCAGATTCCACTCTACTGCCTGCCTACACCCATACCTGCATTTGGAGACCCCACCTCAAGCCCCAGCAGCCCAGGCTACCCGTAAATGTTAGTCGCACATTCACATGCTAGGGGAAAAGGGAGCTCAGATAGAGAAGGGAGCACCAAATAAAGGGTGTTGGGAGGATCCTCCCAGGATGGGAGAAGCATGCTGAAAGTAGACTATAGACCAAACATGATTGCCACTCAATGCCTCTTTTGCAAACCACAACACCCAAAAGGAGAGAGAGAACAAAAGGAAATGCCCTGCCACAGAGGCAGGGTGGGATGGGGGGGTTGGGGGGGTGGGAGGGATACTGGGATCCGTGGTGGTGGGAAATGGGCACTGGTGGAGGGATGGGTATTTGATCATTGTATAATTGAAATCCAAGCACAGAAATTTGTAAGTCTACAACTGTACCTCATGGTGTCTCATTAATAAAAAAATTTTTAATTTAAAAATTGAAAAAAAAACACATCACTCATGTTCTTGGTAAACTCGTACGTTATTTGGCTGTTTTCTACTAAGGGTCCTTGCAGCACGAGTACTGAAGAGACGCTAGGGACTGTGGGCACTCTCGATGGAAGGTCACAACCAGAACTCCCAGGAAATGCAAATTACCCATTAATGTCAGTGAGGACAGTGAAGGCACTGGGAGTGACTTCGTGCTTTGTGACGTACTACATCTCCAACCAAGATTATTAAAAATGCTATTATTGTAGAGAGCCGTTAGATCCGGTACCAATCTACTCCAAATTATAAAGCACCAAGATGTCATTAATTTTGAAAAAAGCACTATTTTAATATTATTTTTGGCATGTGGGCCACATCTAGCTGTGCTCAGGGTCTACTCCTGGTTCTGGACACAGAGACCACTCCCGGAGGATTGGGGGACCATAAGGGTTGGGTTGCCAGGGACATCAAACCAGGGTCAGAGAGGTGAAAGCAAGCACCTTACCCGCTAAACTATCCTTTCAGTCCCCAAAACAAGACACTTTAAAAATTCACAAATCATACAAATCTTCTTTCTCAGGCACTAGCAGATTTGAATTAGCAAAGCGGCATCTTCTGCCCATCTTCTTCAAAAATGAGGTTCCTTCCTTACCAAGTATTTTATGCACACTGTAGTAACGGATTATGTTACACACTAATCATCACTTAAATTTCGCTGCACGAGGGGAAATGAATTCTAGCAGTAAAAGACTTGCTGAGTTTTGGTTTTGTCGCATACACCAAGAGCAATTTCGGACTCACCTACTAAGTTTCTGGGAACTTGGATAACATCCTCAGCAAACTCAAGAAAGCTTCGTGCTTTTTTCACTGCATCCTGGTCCTAAGTGAGAAAGGGGGGACGTTCTCAGGTGAGTGACCAGACAAATGGACGAGGGGCTCCTTTTAGAAGAAAGCTATGGAGGCAAGCGCTTTACCTCTCCGTAAATATGGAAGGTGCAGGTGTCCTCATCGAGATCAATAGCAGTGACCCCTGCCACTTTGCGCGCTTGTTGAATATTAGCACCGTGAGTACCAATCGCCAGGCCCATCAGGTCTTCTCTCACAATAAACTGTTCATGAAATCTGGAGGCAAGCTGCCTTGAGCTCTGAAGAGAAATGCACACTTAATTAATATGAAGCTTTATCAGATGGCCAAAGACCTCTCTTTAAGTCAGCCATGGAAACGGTCTCACCCCTTAAGATTAGGGGCCTGCACATTCATTTCAGTCAGAACCAAGGTTTTAGAAAATATCTCCCACCATAGAAGCACTTTGTAGGCTACAAAAGGCCTACTTCCGTTTGATTTACTTTAGTTAATTGGGAAGGACTTGTCGGCAATTTCCAAAATAACTTCAGAAAACCAATTGTCAAGGCTGCCTTAGTAAAATCAAAGACATCAACAATAATCAAGCAACCGAGCAAATATCCCCAAATTTAAAAATAAAAATACAGCTCACTGGGTCTGACAGACTCAATGTTATTTAAATAGAAAAACTTAAATACCATCTTCACAGAAAACGGTATTCATTTCATCGTGATTTAGAGGACATCAGTATCTATGTATTTTTCCTGCAAACAGTGCTAATCTCAGAACTTCTTAGGTACTGTGTCCAGATCCTGCGTCCATCCCATAGAAAGGATGCCTTTTCACCCACACCTCCTGAGGGAAGGAATCAAAGAACTGCTGGTAGGGGAGCCCAAGTGGGTGATTACACAGTGCCCCAGATCTGGCAGCAAATTGAACACAAGAGCTGGAAACCCCAACTGAGGTCAGTCTGTAAGACCTTGTGATCTGGATCCACAAGTCTAATGAATTCCTTCAAAATTCAGTCCTGATAGAAGTAGGTTCCACTGACACCCCAAACTTGTGGATCATTTAGGTTTCTTAAAAGACTATGTACTACATAATGTTTAGTTCTAGCATGCCATTAATGAAAACCAAACATATTAGTTGCTCATGTGGAAAAATGGAAATTTCTTATCTGAATATGTGGATCACTTTATTAGTAGTAGTGTGGAAACAGAGGCATGCACACGCATTTCTCCTTACTCAACACACCTGGTCATTTGAATGAATGTGTAACAATTTATAAATTTGAACATCCATTTTGCAGATCATACTGACAAAAATGTTTCGAATATTCCTAGGACTTTTCAAGAAGTCCGTTTTGGAGTACTTTTCATTGATAAGTCACTGCTAAGTAGTCAGCCAATGGGAAGATAACAGATCACGTAAGAATCAGATGCTTAAGACGAGGCATATGTTTCAATAATACAACGAATGGAGGAGGCTGTTCTGGTTTAAGAGTTGCGAGCACTGCTATGGACACCACATACTTTGTGAACAGAGGACGTCGAGAGAATGAGAATAAGCTCAATTAAACAGACCTCCAAGGATATACAGCAAACAAAGCAGCACAGGAGTTGTGACTGTCTCCTCTCTGGCAAAGAGTCCAGCAACTGCACATGGACGTGGAAGGCAGCAAGTTCCACAGGGCCTCATACGAAGGCCGCCGTGACTACCTTCCCTCTTTAAAATGCAGTTTACAAGTCGTTTTGTCGAAATTATTTAAAAAGCATGGTATTTCTGACTAAAGATATGATAATGATGAGGAATTCTAGAATAATTTGACTGCAATGTACAGGAGTTGGTATGTTTAAACTGAAATTTGTTTAGTTTCTATAGTAATGGATGGAAGTACCAGTTATCAATGAAATACATGTATGGTAATGGAAATTATTGGAGAATTAATAAAAGTAGATAAAATGCACCTTAAGAGACGAAATAGTAAGTTAGGGAAATAGCCTCTGGCAGGAATCTGAAGACAGGAGTTTTAAAGAGTGACAACCAATTAGAATGAAGTTCTATACCCCTTTAAACAGAGATAAACATACATAATGAAAGGAATATGATTAAATACTTAAAGTACTCTCTAGTATTTTAATGATAACATGTTACATGGAAGAAGCATTACCTCATTTTTTTAGCAGTTCTGAAAAACTTCGGTAAAACTGAGTTGACCAGAAGTTTCTTAACCTAGACAACTGCTTGATGAAACCTTGCACAAAAACTTTACAATGATTATGCTCTGGACATTTTCCGAAACAGAGAACGGAAGGACTGGCTAAGAAACACTAATCAAGAGAAGCTGCCAGCGCTCAGGCTGCAAGTGCGTGGCTGCCCCTGTAGGCAGCCCACAGCGGCGCCCGCCAAAGCCTCCTACCTCCAGTTGCTTGCTTGCCTCTTCATTCCTCAGTATCAGGGAGAGTTTAGTGCGCAAGCTCCGAAAGTGCATGTCAATCAGCATGTGTGCTCGCTTCGCAGTAACTTCACTGATGGACTGGTGCGACACAGATGAATGCCGTTATTATCAAAGCAAATGCCCTAATCAAATACACTAACGCAAGCCCGAGGAACAGCTCGGCGAGCCTGGGCATAGGCTCTGCACACAGAAGGCCTAGACTTCACCCCTGGCTAAGCATATGGTCCCAAGATCACTGCCAGGAGTCATTCCTGAACACCAATGCACAAACACAGGCCCGCGAGTGTGGCTTCGGAAACATGCCTGGAATATGTAAAGCCTTAGGTTGGGTTCAGCTACAAAGGGTCCCCTAAGCACCACCCGGTAGGACCCTTCCCTGCCTCCCCGGTACTATCAGATGTGCCCACACCCAAAATAAAAAATTATACCACCAGAGACACCTTGGAGACACTCACCAAGATGACAAGTTGAAAACTTTCTGGATCGTAAGTTACAGAAAAGGCACCAACTGCCTTTTTGAAGTCCTTATGTGCAGATTCTTTAGCACACCTAGACATAAAAAAATAATTCCCACTGTGAGGTTAAGGTAAAAGATTTGCAACTACTGGAAAAAAATGTATGCAGAAGTATTTGCAACTAGAAGCACAGATTCACGTTAAACATTAAGAAAAATATGCCTATCTGAAACAATTCAATCAAGCATACCATATTATAGAGAAAGGAACAAGCCAGTTCTTCTCTTAAAAGATTGGGGATAGACTCAAGATTTCAAGAAACTTTAAGGGGAGCGTCTCTGCGGACCTCCTGATTTCAGTTAATTGTGGTGACAATCAACTGCTGAAAACTTTCAGGGGTAACAAAAGGGTACGGATCTTGTATGTTTTTTACTTCTCTTCAGGGGTTGGAGAGATAGCACAGCAGGTAGGGCGTTTGCCATGCATGCGGCCAACCCGGGTTTGAATCCCAGCATCCCATATGGTCCCCTGAACATCGCTAGGAATGATTCCTGAGTGTAGCGCCCCAGGAGTAACCCCTGAGCATTGCTGGGTGTGACCCAAAATGCAAAAAATAAAAAAAAATTCAAAAAACCTGTCAATCAATTTAAGGGAAAGATGAAATGCAAATTCATCAAAAGACAAAAATGTGTACATATCCGTAATTCTTACGACTCAACAAGGATTTCTATATTTTGAAGTACAAGTGAGCATTCACTTAAATTGCAATATATTCAAAACAACTAACCATATTCCCTTGACTAAAATCTTTTAAGAAACTAGCTAAAGGCCCATAAACCTTGGCTTAATGAAATACAGCAGGGCAGTGACAAGGAACAAACGCAAAAAAATGGGAGCACATAGCCACAAAACTAGGGGGGAGGGGAGGACCGCTGAGGTCCTTAGGTGATGGGAGTGGTGTTGTAATGTGTGTATGAGAAGCCATTATTAATAGCACTGCAAACTACAAAATCTCAGTGAAAAATATTTCAAAGATTCTGAGAACAGACCAAAAAAAGAAAGAAAACTCCACTGAAAAGAAATAAAGGCCTGTAAGCCTCACTCCAAATCAAGGATTTTTAGGAAAGAGCAGAGTCTGAGGGTTCTTTATGGGTTTACTTATGACATATTTACCTAAACACATTAACTTAAAAAAAAACATTACATTTCCAAAGTCGAGAATTAGATTTCTGTCTTTTCACAGAATTTCTGTATGGATCAGTTCCAAACTCATAAAACTCCATGAACAAAATCCCTTTAAACGTGCAGTGCTGGGGCGGAGCGACAGCACAGCAGGGAGGGCACAGGCCTTGCACACGGCTGACCTGACTTCAATCCCAGGCATCCCACAATGTTCCATGAGTCTTATCTGAGTGCAGAGCCAGGAGCAACCCCAGAGCATCACCAAGTGCGGCCCAGAAACCATAAATGAGAAATCTTCTGTGTACTCTATAGTCATATACCTCAGCAAGTATGTTGGAACACAAAAGTACACTGCTGGTTTCAATATTCTTTTGCAAACCAAGACGATGTTGCCAAAAACAGATTTTTATCTAATTTAAAATACATACTTTGCTTTGGTTTGGTTAGGTTTGGGGACCTTGCCCAGCAGTGCTCGGGGCTTACTCCTGATGGGCTCGGGGCACCATGTGCAGTGCAAAGGATTAAACCTGGGATGGCTGCACGCAAGGCAAGCTATACTCTCACTCAGGCCCTTGAGGTCTCTATTCTTTCCAAAGTATTCCATACCACCCACAAGCCAGCAGTCCTTTTTGGACACCAACTTACATTTGCCGTAAGTCTTCTGGCACATCCAGTTTGATCTTGTGGAAAGTATCTTTAGTGGCAGGTTTGTTGGGATTCACGGATCTTAAACGTTCAATTGTTACAATTTCATTGTAAGTGGCATCGCAGGCAGCATATTCGATCACATAGAACTGAGAAGTAAAGAAATATTACTTCTTGTCATAGTAATAAAGAGCAATAAGCGAGACAGGCAATTGTTCTAAGTTCTCCATAAGAGAAAACTATTCTATATAATCAAATAGCTGAAACTAATAAAACATAAAGAATGCAAAGGCAAACATTCAATACAAGGATTCCATTAAGTATTACTTTAAAATAGAAAACCGGACTGAAAGGTAGAGTACCTGAGTTTAGAAAAGAGAAAGAGAATATAAGAAATTAAATATGCATTTCCTACCTCACCCTTTATCATCCTCACTTTAGCTAACCACCAGCAGCAAGGTTCTTTTTCATTTGCTCTGGAATAAACCTACACGAAATTATAACACAGAACATTTCAGGATTAATAACATTCAGAAACTTAAAAGATTATCAGACACTAAGGAAAACTCCGTAACTTGACTCTAGATGTCTTACAAACACAGTATGTTCAGTACCGTAAACGGGACTGCAGCCCCTCCCCCACCACGCGAGCCGCCGGTATGCAAAGCAATCACCAAATTATGTGGGACAGCCGTGGATAATGTCCCTTTCCAATTTCTCTGCTTCCATAATATTAATTTACTAAATATGAATGTTCAAAAAAGTTGACTCTTCATAAACCTGGGAATACGTTCCTTGAATGCTCTGAGCTACTGAAATGCACCTCAAAGTGTATCCATTTGGCATTGTTTTCTTCCGATGAGGAAGTGACCGACTGGGAGTTATTCAGTCGGACTGCTGTCCGGGTACTGGGTGAGGTCCACGGACTACTCCACCCACAGAAGATACAACTGATGCCCCCTAGGAGGCAGGTCCCGGGTCACTGGGCTTTCCTGGGCCAGTCCCAGGATGGCAACTCTCTATGGACCACAAACTGCGAGGAAGAGCTCCTATCCATTTCCCTGTGATCACTTAAAAATTCAGGAGGGTGAATTTTAGAGCTAAGTATTAGAGGGAAAGTCCGTCCATCGTCCATGTCTTGTACACGCCACCTCGATTCCATCTCTGGCACTGTGGAAAAAGGTTTAATTCACTCATACCTGGGATGAAACACTTATGAAGACTCGTAAATCAAGGCTAACGGGAAAACACACATGACGTGGCCAAAAAGAAATGGTCAAGCAGAAGGAGTAGAATCGGATGCAGGTGAAAAGCATACAGAAGAGGGGGAAAGGGAATAGAGCCCAAGACTAACGAGGGCCTCAATGTCCCCTGAGCAGCCGAAGCTGACACACTGTGGCCACCCCAGAGACCCTGCAGCCCTGCCCACTGCTACGCCCCCGGGTGAGACCAGACCCCTGGCATTTCCCCGGCCCCACATGTGCAACAGCTTCTCATCAACACAAGGTAGATTTCCTCTCACTGGGCAAAGGTGTACAGGAGAGAACTAAGCAAATCCCAGCTGGAGTTTTTAGAGCGTGCGGGTAGGGGGTGTTTGCCTTGCACACGGCCAGCCCGGGTTCGATTCCTCCGTCGCTCTCAGAGAGCCCAGCAAGCTACCGAGAGTATCCCGCCCGCACGGCAGAGCCTGGCAAGCTCCCCGTGGCGTATTTGATATGCCAAACACAGTAACAACAAGTCTCACAATGGAGACATTACTGGTGCCCGCCCGAGCAAACCGATGAACAGGAGGACAGTGCTACAGTCATAACTGCAAAGACTCATTCACCCTCAGCACAGCAGAAGCACTGTAAGCCTGACGGGTAAGACACGTACAAGCCCACTGAGGTCAGTGAGAAAAACCAGTAACTTGGGGAAGTCTCACCCAGCACCAAGAGGCTCTGTGAAGTCCCAACAACTTTAGTTACACCAGGGAGAGGATTTGTAATGAGCTCGAGAAAAGGGGTAATCAGAAAAGCACTGGAAAGCGTGAGAGCGGAAATGAGAAAACTACAGGCAGAAATGAAGAATACGGTAGATGATATTTAAAAAAAGAAAACCTCAATAGAAAAACTTGGAGCAGCAGAATTAACAGCAGCTGAGGAACAGATGGAGGTGCTCTAAGATGAGATGGAAGAAACCACTAGAAAACCAGTGAAAACAAAAGTCTGAAAAGAAATAAGCAGCACACCACAGAACTATGGGGTTAACTCAAGAGGGACAATATTTGAATCACTGGAGTCCCTGAAGAACGGGAAGGCAGATCTGATGAAGAAACAATATTGAAAGAAATCAGAGATAAGAAATTCCGAGAGTTGAGGAAATTTAGGCACCAGTATCCAAGAGGTCGAAAGAGTCCCTGCAAAAATAGCCTCAAATAGAAGGATTCCAAGACACACTGTGCCCCAAATCTTAAGACAGAGACAGAATGCTGAAAGCAGCAAGATAAAAATCAAGGAACTGGAAACTTTACATACAAAGGAGCCCCTAGGAGTCGGAAGAGAATGGAGGAATACAGTACAAAAACTCAACAAAATGAACACCTCACCAAGAATATTCTACCTAGTCAGACTATCATTCAGATTTGAAGGAATGATACATACAGAGCTTCGGGGACAGGCAACAGCTTGGGGAATTCAGAGCCTTAAAACCAGTTTTGCAAGAAGTATTGAAGGACATTCTTTAAGGGACAGGATACACTTCACAGTATGTGGCACTGCGTATGGCACTTATGATGTGTATTGTTGCTCCACACTAGATTAAGGTTGAAATCATACAGCGACGGTCAAACATCAACTTCTGTTGATTTCTTTCATGGTAATTCCTTTGGCCATTCATTTAAGAGCAACAATATGATATAAATGTTATGTGCCAGCCAAGCAGACACATTGGGGGCTGGGAGGGAACCCGGGGACATTGGTGGAAGGAAGGACACAGTGATCATGGTACTGGCGTTAGGACATGTTATGCCTGTAACAACTCTATTATGAACAACTGTGGAGATCATGGTGCCTTAATGAAAATGAAGTTCAAGAGAGACGTGAGGGGAGAGGTAAAAGTATAGCTGAAAGCGCCCGAATATAAGCTACCCTGTCCCCTTGTCACCACTGACCTTTCAACTTTGCTCTACCCAAAACTATAACCTCAGTTTATCAGATGTAATTCAATGAAGTCACCAGAACAACAGATAGTCTCAGGCCCCACATGTTGTGGTTAAGTTGGAGAAAAGCATCCCCAATGTTAGCGTGCATATTCCTGACACAGACCAACGGAAATGGCATCTCAAATCCCTTTCAAACCTAAATAAAAGGAATGACTAAATTGATTAAATACAGTGACTAAATACAACTTAGCTCAAAGAACCTCATGCTTTTCCACCAGTAACTATCTCAACTGCACTAGCCACAGCACAATCTCAGATAATTGTGATGTTATACCATCAGGCCACTAGCAATCAAAGCTTATTGGTCACCACTTGGCCTGCAACAAAATGGTGCAAAAAGCACCCTTTAGGGGCTGGAGCAATAGCACAGCGGGTAGGGCGTTTGCCTTGCACGTGGCCAATCCGGGTTCAATTCCCAGCATCCCATATGGTCCCCTGAGCACCGCCAGGTGTAATTCCTGAGCGCATGAACCAGGAGTAAACCTTGTGCATTGCCGGGTGTGACCCAATAAAAGAAAAAAAAAGCACCCTTTATATCACCATTATGAGCATTCCTAATGTAGGCCACGCACTGGTATCTCCTTTATCCTCCTAAATTAATGATCATGCAATTCAGTATCTGAATACACCTGACCACAACCTACCTATCCATCCTGTCACCATAAACAAGGTCAATTATACTCTAACCACAGCAATAACCTCAGTTATGATGTAATACACTGAGGTCATCCTAACAACAGAATCTCACTGGGCCCCTGCTGTCATGAGACTAATGGGCAAAAGCGTCCCGTATCACCATCACTATTGTGTACATCTCAGGAATGGACCAAAAGAAATCTCATCTCTTTCCCATCTAAGTTAAATGACACATAATGCAGTGACCAAATACAACTAAACTTAACATTCCCTTTATCACCATTAATAAACCTCTAGTCTGCTCTAGTCATAGCTATGACGCCAGTGAATTACAACATAATACAATAAGGTCACCAAGCAACAGTATTCGCTGGGCACCAACTGGCCTGTGACCAAAGGGAAAAGATACCCTGTATCCAGCCCAATCACACACATTCCGGATTCACAGGGGAGTCTGGGGGCCTAGTCTCCATTTTCCTACCAGTTCAAGGACAGTTATTAAACTGATCTTGCCAAAACTTCCCCTATTGCCATCATTAACCATTCACTTCAACTGTGCTCTAGTCAGAACAATGAGGTTATATGCCAGGAAAAGAATCTCACTGGGTGCCACCTGTCAGGTGACTGGCTTGGAGAAAGTGTCCTTTCTTTATCCATCACTACTGTGAACATTCCTGATATAGACACGTAAAAATTGGTTATTCCCACCTTCAATGTCCAATCTACTGTGTATACAACAGTGATTGAATCCACCTGACCATAAGAAAATTTTGTCTTGCCCTCACTTTGACCATTTCATCTTTGCTCTGGCAGAGACAAATAACCTCCATTAATTTTGACTTAACTTGAAGTCAGTCAGCCATCCAACTTCACAGGAGCCACGTACACAAAGAACCCTTCATCCTTCACTTCTTTGGGGAGGAGTGTCAGTGTTCAGATCGTACTCGCTGCCAAAAAAAAAAATCTAGGGGCTGGAGCAATAGCACAGCGGGTAGGGCGTTTGCCTTGCACGCAGCCAACATGGCCGTTACAGGTTCGATTCCCAGCATCCCATATGGTCCCCTGAGCACCGCCAGGAGTGAGTCCTGAGTGCATGAGCCAGGAGTAACCCCTGGGGATCGCTGGGTGTGACCCAAAAAGCAAAAAAAAAAAAATCCAAACCCACGAAGGTTAAACTGATAGATCCTGTTCGTTGTGATATGATGAAGTCACTCCAGTGACAGGATCTCACTGGGCATTGCCTATTACGGGGTTCTATTGGAGCAAAGTAATTCTGTACTTTCCAGACACAGAACAGAAGAAACGGTACCTGGGGCTGGAGCAATAGCACAGCAGGTACGGCATTTGCCTTGCACGAGGCCGACCCGGGTTCGAATCCCAGCATCCCATGAGCACCTCCAGGACCAATTCTTGAGTTCAGAGCCAGGAGAAACCCCTGAGCATCGCCAGGAGTGACCCAAAAACAAAACAAAAAAAGGGTATCTCTGGGGGCAAAGACGCTCGCCCTGCATTCAGTTGCTCTAAGATCAATCCCCAGCCTCCCAAATGGTCCCTTGAATCCACCAGGAATGCTCTCTGAGTACTACAGGGTGTGGCCCATAACAAGAGAAATGCTATTATCACCTCTGCTTTTATTTTCTTCAAACAACCCATTTTTTACAAAGTAATTCATAGTCGACTCTGCTTTTCAAAGATATACAATACAGAGACAAAACACCCCTTACCTTAAACCTACCCATCCATCAACCATCATTAACGAAACGAATCTATTGCAGACATAGACATAACCTCAGTTCATTGTGACGGAGTGTAACCAAGTCACGCAAGCAACTGTCAGCTACACTGTGGAAAAGTATGATTCGTCGATGACTCTTATGCACAGTCTTGATAGACTAAGGGTCTCTTTGTTTCCCCTCTTCCACCCTAAGCTAATGAATATAGAATACAGTGAAAACAAATCTACCTTAACACAAGTTATCTCTCCTCTTACCACCATTAACCATTTTGTGAGTATTGTTTGGGGGACGTATCCAGCAGTGCCCAGGACTTATTCCTGGCTGTGCTCAGAAATCACTCCTGGGAGTGCTGGGGATTGAACCTGGATTGGCCGTGTGCAAGGCAAGCGCCCTGCCCCCTCTACCATTTGACTAACCATTTTAACCAACTCTACGGAGCCAGCGCTAGAACCTACTGGGATGCAAAAATGAGCTTCCCCTAGCAACCAAATCTTAGTGAAAAATCTACCCAGCAACGAAATCTGAGTGAAGAAAGTACACTTTGTCCATCCAAACAGGTTTGGAAACCCTACTCATACCACCTGACCAAAGCCTTAATCTTATCTCCACTGTTAATGTTTTCTTCTACTACGACGTGGACAACCAAAGGTTCTCACACACAGACTTGTGTTCTTGTTCCTTATTGGGAGTAAGGAGTCATCACAGAAGCAAGTGCAGTTCCACATCTCATACTTCCTGATTTATTTAAGCAAAATATACAGTATTTCCTCTTCTAAAATAGGGGCAGTAGGACACGAACACACCTTCAAGGAATACTCTTGCTCCTCCCTAGGTCACCTTCCATTCTCTTCTCTGGAAGACTGAGGCTTTGGAACAAAGAGGCTGGGCCACAGCCAAGACTGATCGGGAGCTCTCCCAGGCCCTATGGTCAGGAAAAACCCCTGGCCATGCTTGAAGGACCACATATGGTGCCAGTGATTCAGGATCAGGTTGAGCCGCATGAACCTTACCTGCTGTGCTATCAATCTAGCCCCTCTACAGAAGGCTGAGTTTTCCCTGTCGTAATACTAGCAATTTTCACCATGGGCCGATGAACCAATCAAAGGCAGGGTCCTCCTCTGGTTCACGGAGCTATCAGTACCACGTTTTGAAAATCCCAGTACTCTAACTTACCTGTAGAAACAGCTGTTTGTGAGCAATTAACCGAGACTGGATATAAGCCAGAGAGAAAATGACCTGGCAAAGGGTGCCTCATTTTCTAATGATAGGTGGCTTCGAATGATCACCCCAAACACTGGCGTTAACTAAAGTATGCGAATATGTACAAAGGAAACTTAAAATGGTATACAAAAAATAAATGTCCCTTTAGTTGCTTCCTTACTCTCACAGATGTTCATAATGCTGCAACTAGTAACGATGAAACAAGACAGAGTGCCTAGAATTGGGGAACAGGAAGCTGAAAGTGGAGTACATGAAAGAGAAGGAAAAGATTACCAGACAAGCAACAGAAGAGCAAATGCCCAAGTCCTCAGGTAATGTTTAGGGTGTAGAGAAACCACAACCATGATGTTTATGGCGCATTAGATCTCCACAGCCCCTCTTGGTCACACACACACACACACACACACACACACACCAATGGCATTTAAGCAGATAATTCACAGCGGCAGGTTCAATGAAATGAAGGTCTAACCTCCATGCGCGTACATTAAAACTCATCCATAGGTTGCACGATTTACCGAAAGGTCTTCCTGTAACAAAAAATTCTGTTACACAGCTTAATTTTTACCTTTGTGAGCCTCGTTTTCTTAATTCAGAAACAGACGAGGTTGTAAGTTAGTGATCTCTCACTCAGATATGCAAAGGCTGAGTACCAGTGGGCAAAGGAAATCGTGGTGGCTTTCAAAAGATGGTGCCAGGTTAAAAGAACATTCCAAAGACAGGCGACTCGTGCACAGACACATTTCATGCTGCCGCTCCGTCAGCACCGAACTCGCTGGTGGCGATAACTTACCTCCACCTCGTCACTTTCATTGATATCTTTATTATAGCCCACAGGTGGTGGAAACCGCACATCATGGAACGGAATCTGCCTCTCCGGCTGCCAACTGCAAGTAAGCAAACGTACAATGATTTAATATGCTTTTCATCTCTGATGCAAACAACGCTTCTCTTAAGCCTGGTTAAGTACGACCCTCTATTTCCCTTGTTTCCAGAGAGTAAGTGCTGGAAAGCTCTCAGCGTTGACCGGAGTGGGGACGACGGCGGTCAGAAAGGCACTGCAAGCGAGTCTGCATGCAGCATGGCAGCCTGGGAGATCCGGGTGGACTTGGTCTCCAAGCACAACAGAGCGACAATTCTCCAAACAAGTCTTCTTTCCACTCATTTCCAATGTCTCAGAGTCCAGAGTCCCAATCGTAAGGCAACAGCAGCAATTTCTTTTGATGCTCAAATTAATGTTAGTATCCGTGTTAGTCAAATCATCACCACACTTCTTTGTATTTGCGAAGGCTTTTTTTAACCACATGACAACGACCACAGAAACTGGTCCTAAACGCCCTCTAATTCCCAAGCAAAACAGGGCAGTCAGCACATGAGCAATTGGCAACTCACTTTTCCCCCTTTAAGTCTGAGATCCCGCGAGGTGGTCAGCTCTCGTCGTGGGCAGCTGGCTGCTGAACGCGGACGGGCTAGCAAGGCACGGGGCCGCTGGGATCTCTCAGAGCACACAACCCCGAAGGAAACAGCCTAGAGGACTTTGGTACGTTGGCTACGTTTTTTTCATTGGAAACGATATGGGGCAATCTTGCAAAGTGCCATATTATTTTTTTCACACCCACAAAGAGAGAAGGTCACTTTTTCCAAGAACTGAAAGCCAGGTCAGAGAGAAGGTGCAATTTGCCGCGCATATGCTTTCGGGTTCTAACCCCCGGCACTGTGTGTTCGTTCCCCAAGTACTGCCAGGAATAACTCCTGAGCACCAAGCTGGAGTTACCCCAAAGCAATACCAGGTATGATTCCCCCCAAAGAAACTCACGGAATAGCTGAACTGCTGGAAGTCATTTCTGGAACATTTGCCAGGGGACCTTTGAAGTACGATACTACTGAATAAAGTGATAACTTGGTTTCATTTTACAAAACCGATCACGTGAGAGCACAGAATTTGTGGGACTCTGTGTCTTAGGGTCTATGGATACCTTTTCCTGTATTATACATACTTGGAAAATATAAAACTCAAAGAAAAAAACTCTCTAGGGTCAGAGAGACAGTACAAGAATGCTCCCGTGGCATGCCACTGACCCCAGTTCAAATTCCCAGCACCACAGCACACCCCTGAGCACCGGTAAAAGGCACTCCTGGGCATAGAGCAAGAAACAGCCTGTGCTTACTACCAGATGGGAATCAACCCCCTTACCCCCACCCCCAAAAACAACCTGTCTTCACTTAAAAAAGGACAAAATATTTACTGGAAATGAGTGAACCTTATTACAAATTCACGGCAAAATTTGATTTCTTTGGTGGCCATACTCAGCTGTGCTCAGGGTGGATTCCCCTGCTCGTGCTCAGGGAAGCATGTGGGGTGCCAGGGACTGAGGGCAGGCCCCTTGCCCCCTGCGCTATCTCTTCACTCTCTCTCAAGTCCGACTTGCAAAACACAAGACATAAGGTAATTAATTTATCTGGGTCCCAAACTCTTCAATGTACAGAACTGAAAATTCCAATACTTCATTAGAACACATGGAAGATAAAAAGAAAGCATGTAAAATAATCTGGACTTTGTGGCTGAAAACAAAGAAACGGTAAATGCAGTCTGAAGTACTCTAAAATTGTTGTGTGGTTTTTTTTCTTAAGTAGAAAAAACCAACAGGAAGGAGGGCCAGGGCAGACATGACACTTTGGTGGGGGCCGATTCAATTTTAATGATGTGTCCAACCCACTGCTGAATCTCAAACACACCCCATTAATCAAAGGAAAAGCTATTGCTAGAGTTCAAATTTTCAGGATGAAAGGTTTTGATTTTGCTTTTCACTGATAAGAGTTGCTCACTTTAGGACCCATGATTTACAATCAGATTAACGGTAGAGTTAGGCCCATCAAGTCCTGCCAGCCTTCTAGCCATGCCCCCAGCTCACTGTGGGCCCATTAGGGCTCAGGATCAGCTGCCTCTGGGCACCTGCTATTACTTCCCTGATGTTTTTTTAGATCCCACATGAGGGAGATCATTCTGCATCTGTCCCTCTCTGGGTAACTTCACTCAGCATGGTACTCTGCAGATCCAAAGGATAGGAGTTGAAAGGGAAAGTATGCAGATATGAGCCAGGACAGTTAGAAGATCCAAAAAGAATCTAGGGATAAGTTTATCGTAGAGAGCAGACAGAAAGCCAGAGAATTGATCTCTGAGAAACAGCGTATAAAGTAGACACATTCTTAAATGCACAGAGGCAATAAGTATTTGTCTACTGCTTTAAAGACTACCCAGGAGAAACAAGAGAGGTAAAAGAAGGTAATCCTCCCTCTGTGGGAAATTAGTGTTTACCTGGTGATAGAAGGAAGCAAATAAGAGTAAAATAAGAAGAAAAAATATTACTCTCCAAATTAGCATGGACACTTAAAACAGGAAAGGGCAAATTATGAAACTTAACTGAATATAATGGAGGGTACTTAATTATTCTAAGGTGTTAAGAATTCATTATTAGTCGAAAGCTCAGAACAGGGGCAGATACTCTAAATCCTTTTTTATTTTTGTTCCTCTGAATGTTTCAGGTATCTGAAAATACCACTTGATCCTGCTGGTAGATTAAAAAAGCTGCTAACAGTCTACAATATGACTAGGTCAAGGACAATTACTTTCACACTTACTGACATAATTCGCATGTCACATAAACCATACTTACGCAAACATACATGTCATGGTATTGAGTACACCCACAGATATGTGAGCATCACCAGTCAATTCTCGAACATTTTTTTCACCTCAGAAAGAAACCCCAAACTCTTTGTCCGGGCCCCCCCCTAGCGCCAGCAATCACTGATCCATTCTCTTAACAGATATGGCATCTGCTTTGAGATACCACTAATTTTCCTGGGATGTTCAGAAGCAAAAACTAACTGTTGAGCTTTTCTCAGAGTCAGGTCAAGTCCTGAGATCATGAACACATCTACACTGTGACAAAGGAGTTTATAGACACTTTGGCATCTCCAATGGATACTCCAAGTCTTTATCGTCATTCCATATTTTTAATCAAAAATCTCCTTACGATAGCAAATTTTAGTAATTTTTTATGAGGATTTCATATAGCTAATGTTGCTAGATGTCTAAGGATTCTTATTTACTCAGAAATCCAGAAAAGATCAGTTAACACTATCATTACCACCATTCTATATTCATATATAGAATATATATCTATATATTTGAATATTCATATATATTCATATATAGAATGGTGGTAATGATACTGTCAATATAAAATAAGCAAATGGTGAAGGAAGGTCACTTTTAATATAAAATACTAGACAACTGGAATCATTGATTTTAAATGCAATGCCCCAAATTCACATCGATATACCAAACCCCAAGAATCCCCTAATTTTCATCTTTTAACAATTACTAATATTTTTATCCAAACTCTCGATCATTAACACAGAGGAATCTGGTTTCTTTCTTCACTTTCAAGGGTACTGATTCCAATGGCTTAATTCTGAATTCTTTGAAATGTCCTGACTAGTAATATGAGTGTCTTCCTGCAAAACAAACTCAACTTGAATTATTCTTAAATGAGGACTGATGCTAAAGATCAGCATAAAATATTAATATAGAAAATGAAATTATATCAATACACTTACTTGTTCTCAAATGCAACCGTTATTGAATCTTCATGAACATCTTTCACAAACGCCTGTCGGAAAAAAAATACCACAATTAAACTAATATTAAGTTTAAAGATCATTTTTATTTCTAGTTAAAATTTATAGATATCAAACACGTTAAGATCTCATGGAAGTTTGGCCGTTTTTAAGGGCCTCTCAGTCAAGAATCAGCTCTATTTTTGCCCCTGGGGCAGATCCCCAGGAAGACTGAGTAGCTCAAACAAAACACAACATTGCTGCACGAAGCTCAGTACCTAACAGTCGGAATGCAGAAGACTGGGTATGGAATGAGAGGGAGACGAGTCATTTAACATGTAAAATTCAGAATGCAGGTGAGTGCAAAGCTCCTTTATGTATATGTTAGCCAGAGTTACTGAAAACCAAGAAACTTGGTCCAGAGTCTTATAGCAGCCAATATAGAGCTGTTGGAACCTTTTTTTTCTGTTCTAAGTAAAATTTTCCGAGAGTACAATGGCACATGGTTAAATACAATTTCAAACCTACGTACACAGAAGTACGCTATGTTTTCTTCAACAATCATATGCTGCTAATACTGCTAAAAAGTTCAATTACTACAATTTAATTAAATTCTCAATCTCGAAGGAACTGGAGGGAAAAAAATCAGTTAACACAAAGCACCGAGGTTTAAATCTTTTCAATCTGATGACGCAACTGCTAGTAACCTGCAGAAAGACATAATAAAAGTAATAGCCAACTAATGATCGAGAATTTCTTAATCAGCAGGCTGTCCGTAATTCTATAAAATTAACTTTTTCTATAGGTCTTTAATAGGTGCCGCGGGTGGGGGCGGGGAAGAGGCTTGTTTTGTTTTGACAATTAGAGGAGTGGGTTAAAGGTGAAAGGAACCCAGGGGGCTTTGGATGTGAGAGCCTGAAAATGCTTTGAGAGATTTAAGCTTCTTACTCAAATTTGTTCTGTACACGTTTCCCTGCTTCTGCGGTTTCTCCAGCCTGCATGGGGATTATGGTCCCATCCCCTCCCTGTGGGGTCCGGGGCTTTGGGGACCAGCGGCACTGCTCGCCGCGCGGGGGACCCCCGTCTCCCCTTCCCACCTGGCTAGCCGCCCTCTGTGGGAGAGCACTGGATTGCAGTCCAGGCCAAACCCCTGTCACCCTTAGTCAGCTGCCTGTGTCCCCGCCAACAGTGAGCTTGGGACAGTGGGTGACAGATTCAATTTTCCTTGCCGCTGTGATTTCCAGTGTCTGCAAGGAAGGCACCGAACGACCAGTGGGGGCCAGCTGCGTATTTGCTCCTAACCTGCCCTGAAGTCGGTGCACGCTTCAATCATACTCATGCACTAGACGTGCTAAGAGCAGACACTCCCTCGAAGGAGAAAGAGCTGCAAGTGCTGTGACTCTCCAAAGAGAAAGAAACGCTTTCTGAGGCTCTCGGAAATGAGGGGAGTGACCCTCGCCTTCTCCTACACATGCATTCCTCTCCTCCTCCCTCCCGGGGGAGGGCACACAGGTGAGACTCTGGGCCCCATTCATTGTCTTGGAGGTGCATGGATCCGAATGGTGAATACTTCCTTTCTTAGGCTTTCCAGGGTCAAATGGGGGGAAAAAAAACCCGGGCTGGAAGAAATCTCATTCATTTTGCAAATGAATGAGAAAGCCAATCTGATCGGAATGCCTTCCCACCTGACTTCAAATCTCTCCCAAGTTCTGACGCCCAATTTCACTGCACAGCCAAGTCCCCGCCCATACAACAGGACTAACAGCAAAAACTCAGGACCGCAGAGTGAGAGTGAAGGAACCCAGGAAAAGGATCTTGGATCACCCACTTCCCCGCAGACGGGGACCCACTTGGAAAGCCAGACCTAGAGACTTGGGGAAAACATGAGTAGTGCTAAGTGGTTGTGCAAGCTTCTGTGTAGTAAAACAGTGATCTCTAGCACAGCACGCTCTGCAGTTAACATGATATGCTCACTTGAAAACTTTCCTCTTGAATGGGCCTTTTGTTTGGGGGCCACGCCCGGCGGTGCTCCAGAGGTACTCCTGGCTCTGCACTCAAGAATCACTCCTGGCAGGCTGGGAGACCATGTGGGATGCTGGGAGCGGAACTCTGCAAGGCAAACGGCCCTACCTGCTGTACCATTGCGCCAGCCCACTTGACTGGACTGTTTAAAAGCACGTTTGGTAACTAGCTCCAGATTTCTCCTCACCAAATGAAAATCTGTGCTCAGGCACCAAACTTAAAAACATAACCACGTTAGAATATAATCCATCACTTTCCATGTGATCTAGCATATTAAGATTATTCATTACCAGTCACATTTTTCAGAAAATGGGAAGGTTTTCTTTTTTTCCCAAGACACAATTTATTCCTTTTTAATGGTTTTCATCATCCTAATACAAAAAAAAAACTCAATCTTAGGACATAAATGTATTCATCCTGCGATAGCATCTATTACACATTCCAAACTCAGTTAATCATACTCCGTACTTCAAAACTGGTTTTTCAAAAGGCACTATTTTAGGCAGATGCCCCTAAAATACTTTGTATTTAAATATTCTCTGTCTAGGAAATGTGTTGTAAAGCACCCATGAGGTGCAGTGCAAGTGCCTTCCTGCAAGGGTCTGTAAACTCTGCATGTGATCAACTTTCTCCCGGAGAGGCCCCTAAAAGCTCCTAAAAGCCAGGCCTCCATTACTAAATGTAACTTTTTAGTTTTCAAAAACAAACACCAGAAGGGGGCCTGAAAAAGGCACTAAGTTTCTACTGTCCTCCGGGTTAAGTTTCACAGCTTTAGTGATTCAGCTAGAATTACATTTTTCCAGAAAGCATGCAACTCTTCCTAAGGCTTCCAGTTCCGTTCAGACTGCAAACTTGGGCCATGTGCTCAGAAGATGGAGAATCAGCCCCTGCAATATGGTGGATGTTCAGCACATCCAAACAGGAGTTCAATTATACTGAAGCGCTTTAGTTTGGGATGTCTTGCTGTCGATTTGACGAACGTGTCTCGCTTCTTGATAAACATGAAATATCTCACTGTTCCTTTTTTTTACCAGTCTGCATTTCTGCCCCACAAACCCCGCTCAGTTTACTTTGGTTTTACTTGTATCACTCACCATATTATGAGTCTATTAAAGCAAACGTTTTTCTTTAGAGAAACTCTTTTTTCCAATCACGCTGACCATGAGATTCCCTAAAATTAAATCTATTTAAATTCACGTAGCAGCAATTTAGTTCAGCCACATTTGTTCAAGTTTCCCGTTTCCTTTCAAGAACCTGAAGAGCCTAGCCTTTTGACTACTTTCAAATTCCGGGACTTGGTTTAAAAATTAAAACTGGGCTCAACAGTGAAGACAGGGCATTTCTGAGTTTTAATCAGTTTGCAAGCAAAAGCAGGAGAACAATCATAGGCGGCTGGAAGGGAACAATAAATCCTTCAAGTCCAGGATGTTGTACTTACCTTCTGTGGCAAGCAAAAGCCACTAAGAGACAATAAATAGTCTAACCTAAGCCGCTATCAGATCTATTAAACTATTACTCAATCATTAACTCCTGCTCCTAATTACTCTAGTCAGCTCCACAACATCCAGTGTCCCAAATTTCTCATCGAGAGCCAGAAGGCTTCTCCACAAACTCACCAGTAGAAAAAAAAAACCAGCACTGAAATCCCGAAAGCCGCCTCCTCAACTGGAACTAATTTTCCTTTTCTGCCGCCGAGTCTGGTACAGAGCCGTAAAGGCTGGATTATTTTTTTGTCCTCCCCGGACAGCTAAAGGGGTTTCACCTTTCTTTTTTTTTTTCTTTTTTGCTAAACGCCTGTAATACATCTTTGACTCGAGAACTAGTTTTCTCCATAAAATGGGTGAGCAACTCACTGCTGTATAATGAAGTTCGATTGTTTTCCTATAGGCAAACGGGTCCGCTTTACGGAAGTCACAGGTAATTAGCCCATTGGAACTTTCCCACTCCCGATGGAGAACGGCAAAGAGTTTCTTAGCCATGTGCTCGAGTGAGGCCCGAGACATCGTCGCCACCTCATCTGTCGTCAGGTGGCCGTCGCTCAGGCAACTTAGGGGACAGCCAGAGAGAACTTACAGATGACTGGGGGGGGGGGAGGGGGACAGTGATTCCCCGGGGGGGCCGGGGACACTGTGAAAATCTCTTCTAATTCCTCTTTGGAAGCGGTACCGCCTTAGTCGCCCGGGCAACGGGGTCATTTACAAACCTGCGGGCGGCCACAACCCGTGTCCGTGTGTGTGGCCTCGAGGAAAGATTCCCGGGGCGCGGACACCCTCAGACACCGGGTGCACCAAGAGTTCTTGGAGCTCACTCTGAACCTGCCCCTCATGCCAATAAGCTCTCGCCTAAAACTTCGGGAACGCGGGCGAGTCGATTTTGTCGGCAGCCGAGGAGGAGGAGGAGGAGAAGGAGGAGGAGAACGTTTGGCGATGCCTCGGAACGGGTCGTCCAGAGTGGGTCCCCCCCGCCGGTGACCCGGGACCGGCGTGTGGGGTCCTGGAGAGTGTTGGGGGTGCGCGAATAAGAACGATCGGCAACTTCTTTCATTCATTGGCCGGCCGGGCCAGGGAAGCCCTGAAACTTTCCCACCGCAAAGTGGCCTGGAAGGTTCACAAAGAGCCCCCACCCCCCACCGGGGCGCCCCGTGTGCGGCGGGGTCTGGCGATCCCCCGCACCCCTCACCCAGCCTCTCGCTCCCGCAGGTCCCCCAAGCGTCGCCCGGAGCCGCCGAGGCGGCCGGGCTGTGTAGAGCGTGGAGGGTGGGGGGTACAGACCGCGGGTGCCCCCCCCGACCGCCCGAGATCGGGGTTCCCCGGCCGCTTCTCCTCCGGCGGCCGGCGGCTCCCCAGCGACACGTTCGGCCCGGATCCCGCCGGCGAAAGGCGCGCCAGGGCGAGAGATCGCGGCCGCCCCCTTCCAGCCGCGACTCCCCGCCGCGATCCGCGCCCGCCGCCCGCCGCTCGCCCGAGGCCTCGCGCGCGCCGCGGCCAATGCTCCGAGCGCCCGGGGCTGCCCGCAGCAGGCCCCGCGTCCCGCACCCGCCGCCGCGTCCCCGGCCCCGGCCCCGGCCCCGGCGCGCCGAGCGAGCGCGCCCGGGCATCCCCGCGCCGCCCACCCCGGAGGGCCCCGGGCCTGGCGGGCCGAACCCGCCGAGGGCAGCGGGGACCACCCCCCGCCACCACCTCCACCACCCCCCGAGCGCCGTACCTTGTAGAAAGCGCCATTGGAGCCCCGCACTTCCACCACGAGCTCCTCCATCTTCTCCCGCCCCCGAGAGCCGGGCTGCGGGGCGCTCGAGGCCCAGCCGCCGCCGCCGCCGCCGCCGCCGCGCTGCCGCCGCCGCCACCCGGCCGACGTGCCGCCGACCCCGCCGCCGCCGCCGCCGCTGCCGCCCGCGCTCGCCGTCCGGGACGCCGACCGCCCGCTCGCCGGCGGCGCTCACCGGAAGTGAAAGCGAAACGGAGCCGAACGACTGACTGTGGCCGAACGCTCCGGCCGCTCCGCGTGTAAACACTGAAGCCGCGTCACGTGACCGCGCCGCCCCTCCCCCCCGCGGGCTCGGCCCCCTCGGCCCCGCCCTCCCGGCTCCGGCCGGCGCGCGCCTGCGCACTACCGACCCCGCGCCGGGCGCGGAGTGCGGAGGGGGGGGAGGGGGGAGGGGGAAGGGGGCGGGAGGGGGGTTGGCAGCGCGCGCGCGCGCGCAGACGGGCGGGGCTCGGAGCGGCTCCCAGAGGGCGGGAAGGGGGTCCCGGCGCCCCGGGCTTGCGTCTCTGCCCCCTCCCTCTCCCCCGGCGACTCCGTCCCCCACCCCCACCCCGCGTCTGGCCCTGCAGGCCCTCCTGGGAGGCGTGGGAAACGGCCTCCCGCTGCGACCCGGCCCGCTCAGCTGCTGGGGCGCGACGAGTCTCCTGCGGCCGAGCTTGCTTGCAGGGGGTCGGGATGGGTCAGGAGCCACGCGACGCAGGGATCCGGGACAGGGACCTAAGCGATCGAGGAGAGGGACCGAAGGGATCGAAGACAGGGGCCGCAGGGATCGAGGACAGGGACCGAAAGGATCTTAGACAGGGGCCGCAGGGATCTAGGACAGGGGTCGTAGGGGTCGAGGACTGGGTCCGCTGAGCGCTTGCTTTCCGGGCTCGGTCCGGACATCTCAACGCCCCCCAGCACCACCCGGCCCAGAGTGTGCGGTGCCCCCAAGAGCAGGAGTTTTGCCCAACCCCCTCCAAAAAAGAAAAAAAAACAGGAGTGACACTATTGAGAGCTTCCAAGACTGACCACACAGTCTCGGTGCGACTGTAAAGAATCATTAACGTAGAATTCGATTTTCGAACCCGACGAACGCGTGATTTCGCCACGCCAAGAGAGAACTCTGAACCAGCCAGTGGCACCCATGGGCACACGCCCTCGGATTTGAATTGAGCGCTCCTGGGGCTGTGGGAACCTCTGCACACGTATTAGCCCTTTCCCCGTCCCAGCCCCCAGCGATGCCTTCCCTCCTGGTCAGAAGTCGGGAAAGCAACAGTCCCAAGACACCCATCTGTTCACAGGGTAGTCCCCGCCCAACGGCATGCACACCCTATTCCCGCGGTCCGGCCAGCTCCGGACCGCACCGTCCAACACAATCCCAGCTCATTCCCTTCCCACTTTCCTCCTTGTCTTCTGCTTTCTTTGGAAGTGGGTCTCCTACTGAGAACGACAATAAACTGTGAGGACATCAGGGCACGGACACCCTCTCTAAATAAATAAATAAATAAATAAAACCCCTTTTGCGAAGGGCAGGTATGAGACTAGATGGACACAAAGGTAAGGATCAAAAGGATCGAGGCAGCTGTGACGTGACTTGAGATGAGAGGCGGTGATACTGAGATAGGGACGCGGCCGCGGCGGGGGATGGGAAGTTGGCGAGGAGGGGACAGGGTTCCAGCTGGAATGTGGCCCCGGGAAGCCCCCCTCTCCCCCCCCCCCCCCCCCCCCCGGCAGATCATCCAGAATGCGAGGAATCTTGAGCCTCCAGCTTCCTTCCTCACTCGCCTCACAGCCAGGGCAGCCTTCGGACTTCACGTAGAGCTTCGTGGAAGCAGTGGATGAAGCAATTGCCTTGACTTTGCGGATCATGAAGAATGCACTGAGCAGGAAGGATGCTTTGGACTAAGGTTTCTAGGGAGGTCGTGAAGACTCTAGGGCCTGGAGAGATTGCTCCCAGGGCTGAGTGCATGCTTCGCAGGGGACCTCCGAACGCCACCCACTGCCCTGAGTCCCCCACGCGCATGCAGTCTCCAAGCCTACACCTGCTGGGATGTGGCCAGCTACCCAAACCAAACCAAACCAAACCAAACCAAATGCAAACTCTAATCACACAGGAAGTGCACCACAGCGAGCATGGAAGCCAGAGCACAGCACACGCTTTAACCCCAGTGGTGTCCAATGGTTTAAGCTTTTACAAATTGCTGGCTGCAATGATTATACTCATATGCCTGGTAGGTAGAAAAGGTTACTCAATTGACCCAGGGCTTTCAAAGTCCTTTGAACCCTTCACAGCCACGTTTACCACAAGGCACCTGTACTACTAAACCCCTTGCTGTTCCCTGAACCCAGGAGCCATGGGCCGGCCTTCTGATCTCTGCACATGAGCTCTGGCAGGAGAAATAACGTTCCCTTGGGTTATCAGCTGGATTCCTGTTAGCTCGTCATTTTGCTTGAGGTATCGAGAGGTGAGTAATTTTGTTCCTTGGCATCTGTCCATTGGCATCATCCACCCGTCCAAGGCCCCACCTATATTTGCGTTTTATTCTTTGTCGGCCCTCCTCTTTCTCAATCGCTCCTTCCAGGTCCTAGCCGCAGTGTTCTTGATCTAGATCTTCCATTCCTTCCGGCCCATGGCATCTCAGGTATGACGTTCCCATTTAGAGAGGGCACCAGGCAGTCATTTTTATTTATTTATTTAGTTAGTTTTGCTTTTTGGGTTACACCCAGCAATGCTCAGGGTTTACTCCTGGCTCTGCACCCAGGAATTACTCCCGGCGGTGCTCGGGGGACCATATGGGGTGCTGGGAATCGAACCCGGATTGGCTACATGCAAGGCAAAGGCCCTACTTGCTGTACTATCGCTCCAGCCCCAGTCGTTGATTTTAAGAAAAGTTTGATGAATGAACACAGACCCATCCTCATGACCTTAATACCCGGGGTCAGGGAGCCTTCCACTGCTGGCTCATGAAACTCCCTTGTTCAAGTCGGTTCCACTGACATCAGCTCCATCCTGCTCAGCACCAGTGACCCATGTTGTGCTCTCATTTCCTGTCACTGGCAAACCTCGCTTCAGAGTCAGTTCTCCAGCCGAAAACGTCACTCTCCCTTTCTCTCACACATTTCATCCGTCTGCGAAGCCTTTCAAAGTCCGCAATTTCTTGCCCTTTGCACTGCTGAAACCATGCCCGATACCCCGACCCCCCACGATGCTAAGGAATTTACTAGCTTCTCTGCTGCACTGCACAGACAGAATAACCCCATTTCGGTCGTCAATCTGCATGATGTCGGTGGGCCCACGGGTGGCTCATGAGAAGCAGGGAGGAGAAAGATGGTCACTTTCTCCCCATCTGCCTTTGCCACCCAGGACCCAGGGTTACTAGGTTCTTGTCTCATCTCGCAGTAAAGAATTCATTGTATGATTGTAACCCATACATGAAAGCATAAGCATAACTATCTCACGGTGACTCAATAAAATAAAAAAAAAAATCACACACACAATAAATCCATTCTGAGTTTGAAAAAAAAGAATTCCAGGAGTACAAGAGTACCACACCACATTTGATGAGGTTCAAATAGTAGGCAACCAATCATGGAGGGAAATATATATATATGTGTGTGTGCTTATATATTTTCAGATGTATATAGGAAAGTTCACATCACTCAACCTTTAACAACATGTTAGTGATATCCTAAAGAAGGTCCTGATGGCCCCTGCCAAAATAGAAAAATCTTCACACTGTTTCCTCTCTGGACACTTTTTTGTAGCATTTTCAGCATAAATGAACAATTTTTTTCATTTTTTTCATAACAAAGAATACAAAATATATTATTTGGGTTGTGCTTTGGCACAGGGCTTGGGGCTTGGGATGGAAACATCCCAAGTATGGTGGTGGGAAGGTGTAATGGTTGTGGGATTGGTGTTTGAATATTAAATGTAAACATATTGTGAACTACCTTAGAAAAATTAAAAAAAAAAGTTTAAAAACACAAGAATTTCAAGAGTAGGCAAGCAGTGAAGTAAAACAGATTTTATTTGGAGGTTTTTTTTTTTCAGTGAAACAAATAGATTTTATTTGGAGGATTTTTAAGGTGTGGAGGGAGAGAGAGTGAGAGAGAGAGAGAGAGAGAGAGAGAGAGAGAGAGAGTAACATACTCAAGAGCGAACACAGGCTTCTCCAAGGACGGAGAGAGCCCCTACACCCATCCCAGCATGAGACAGGAAAGTATGAGAGTCCACATTTGGGGGGGGGGGCTGGAGCGATAGCACAGTGGGTAGGGCATTTGCCTTGCACTGGCCGACCTGGGTTCGCTTCCCAGCATCCCATATGGTCCCCTGAGCAAGGCCAGGGCTAATTTCTGAGTACCCAGCCAGGAGTGACCCCTGTGCATTGCTGGGTGTGACCCCCCAAAAAAAGAAAGTCCACATCTCCAGAGGGGAGATGGGGGAGTAACACTTGTGCTCAGCCACCTGGGCACCAGCAGCACAGGGCTGAGGGGGCAGATGTGCACTTTCTTTGTTCTGGGGGCCTTTGCAGGGTTTCTCCAACCTACCCCCACCTGGGGCTGCTACCTAGTTACAGTCTCTGGCTAAGTGGGCTGCCTAGGGGGTAGGGTTGGGAGTGCTGATGGTCTTCTTTGAAATTCCTTTCCTGGCTTTTTGTTTCTAAAGGAGCTTCTGTGGGGGGGGGGGTCCAATATCCTCAGGGTCTGCTACTTACTGGCGCCAGGTGAGGGTCTTCTTCTTCTCGGGGGGCCTTAGTTCCTGTTTTCTGCAAGGTTGGGTTTGGCAACTTCAGGGCTATTAGCTCTTAGGCAATGTTGGGCGGCCCCTTTGGCTTGGGAGGGGCCTTCCCTACCTGCTGGCTGACAAAACCCTGGAATAATGTACTAATAATGCCTAAGGGGAAACGCCAAAGTCCTTTTGTCTTCAGTGGTCTACACTCCTTGGCTTCTGTTCTCTCTGTTCACCTACCCCTGGCTTCATTCCCTTCACATCGGCTGCTGCTGTTTCTTGCGGTGTGGGGCGGGGTCCACTGAGGTTCAGTCTCCCCTCTCTGGAATG